TTAAAAGGTGGTGCTCCTTGGAGAGAGAGGCTGGTGAGGATGGATAACTGCAGAGAAGATGTGAACAAAGTGTTGGTGGCAGAGGAGATAGAATTATGATTTTGTAAACTGCCATTATTATTTATTGTTTCTAATAACTTTTTGGTGGAGTCATTAGGGTTTTCTACATATAATACTGAGATATTTAAAAAAATTATTTATGCATACAGAACTGGGATACGGGCCAGAGGTGCAGGGACAGTGAGATGATTCACCAGAGACAGAGTGGGGCGCAGAACAGGCTGGCTGACGAAGTACATGGATCAGGAGAGGTCTGCTGTGCCATGTGTTATGTGGGTCACCTCCAGGGTGGGGATCGAACTCATGCTGAAGTGGCTTTAGCTTCTTAGAGCTGTGCTTTAACCCACTGCACCACCAGGGAGGGTCCGCATTGAGATATTTTTAATGTGTTTCCTCTTGACCTGTTTGTTACTCACATTTAATCCGCAATTTTTTTAGGTTTTCAAGTTTTTCTTTTTTAATTGTATCTATTTTCATAAAATAAGAAATGATGTTGGTTAGGATTTTAGTATTTACAAATGTATTTAGACTTGTTCTGTGTCCTGTAGCACTCAGGTGGATTTCATAAATAAAACTTATGGCATCATATTGTGACTGGGCAGGCCCTTGAAACACATAGAAGACAATACTATGAAACTGACTTTTGATAAGAGTTTTACTGTGAAGTTAATTGGCAAGGATGTAGGAGCCAAGTTTCAAATTTCTCTTTGATCTGGGAGCTAATATTGACTTTATGGAATCAGAGGAAGAAAAAAAAAACAAAGCTAAGAATCAGAAATTTATGAATTACAGCTTCATTGGATAGTCACAAACTGGTTGATATATGGAAAGATTTTTTCAGATACCCTCATCTTCCTTTTTGATGAACCCTTCACTACTGAAGCAGTATAGGTAGTTCTTTTTTCTTCTGGGTTTTATTTTACATTGGCAGTTTCTTGATTCTGACCTCTTTGTACTTTGGAGTTCAAGTTAATGTTAATCACTTCTGCATATGTGTGGATTTTATAACCTTCAGATGAATGCCAAGTCTAAAGCTTCTGCAAAGGCAAGGTGAAAAAGTAATAAAGTGCACAGCTATTGCAGCTCACTCACAAAATCTAAGGTGAACTGCCTTGGTTTCAATGCTCCCATAGTGTAAGTTCATTCCTAATCTTGAAGAATTAGAATGATGACTAGTGTGTTTGCCTCTTTCTGACTAGGAGCATAGGTCTGGGTTTGAGGAAAGAAATTGTTTTGCAACTTAATTGTATTCACAAGTTCTGGTTATGTATTCATATACTGGGCAAATATTAGATTGCAGCTCTGTCTTAAGAATACATTACAAAAACAAGCATACAATCTAACAAAAAGGAGCATTCATCTTAATAAGTTTGTCTATTATTCTCAGTCTAACAAAGCTGTCAAATAAAGACCTTATTTCCTTGGTAATCATGAAAGCATATCTTCTCATTGGTCATCTCCAAGTTCTTAAGCAGAAACTTGCTGAAGTCATGTGGCTGCTGCCTGTTTTTTTTTTTTTTTTTTTTTAAATGGGATTCAAACTTTAAGGAGATACTGATGTAAAAAACAATAAAATTTATTAGTTACAACATTTGTGACTGGCTAAAATATAGTCTGGGGCAGTTCTATTCAACATAAAGAGGTTTGTTGTTGGATCACTGTGCTGTTTAATTAGCAAATGCTGCTAAAGTTACAGAAACATTACTACTCATGTTTTTATTTGCCACTATGCTTCACCATAGTGGTAAAGTTCACTCAAAGAATAGAGTGTAGTAAGCCACAGGCAGGCACCACAAAGTAATCATCCGCTAATGTTAATTTTTTGGTTCTAGAGAAGAGATTTAGAGAACTGGCCCAGTATTGGATTTCTCTAAGCATATGTATGAGAAAAGGAGTAATTAAGAGATACAGAAGGCTGGTGCCTCCCATGTATCTGTTGTTGAGACATTTGTGTGTCCAGGGAAAATTATGTGAAAAGATCAAAATTATGTCCTAGGGGTACACAAGGAGCTCCAGGAAAGATTTTAGAATTAAGGCTTTCCTCATGGGGGAAAGTAGAAAGAATACTTGTAGAGATCAGTGGAATGGAGAGAGCAATTTATCAAATTTTGTTGACACAGAGGCAAAGAAATGGCATCTGGTGTCCAAGTCAAAGATTACTTAAATTTGGTAAACAGAGGGGACATAGTGATAGAACTGTTGTAACAAGTCATCTATAGGAAGACCGTGGAAAGTGGTGGTGAAACATAGTTGGAATTTACATATAATAACATTTCTTGTCTTGATCTCAGGAAAAATGAAAATTATTTGCTCAGGATTCTAAGTACAAAGTTTTGTCAGGTTTCTTCACATAGCTGCATGAGGGTTTGGCAGGCTAGGAACAAACAGAGCATAGGAGAAGCAACATCTGTAATGAACATCCTGATGTTATAGTCTACATTCTTTGACTTTTGGTGTGGGTAACAGTGAAGTCAGGTGCCAGTTATATAATTACAGTAGTTGTAAGTATAATCAGAGGGTCAGTTTGATCAGGAACAGAAAAGGGTTTTGGGTGACATATTCAACTGTTGTTTCCCGACTTGATAATATATTGACTAATAGAATGCAAAAGGAGATAGCACTTAAAAAAGGTATTTAACTATGCATTACTGTCAGGTATTTAACTATGCATTACTGTCACAGCAAAAGAGATACAGCAATGGCTTTGTACTGATGGAATTCAATGGCTCCACTGTTTTGATAGAATGGTGGACAGATCTTTTGAACACTAAAATTGCAAGTCATCTAGGTGGCTTTTCCACAAGCCTGTATGTGCTGTGAATCAGTGTCAAATATTTAATGACAATTTTCCTTAGCCAGGATTCCTGGGTCCAGAAATCGAAGGGTGGAAATTTCCCTTGATGTTATGCTATGCTACCATAAAGGAATGAATGCTTTCATTAGGAGATGCATTTATTCTTTTCCCTGGAAGTTAAGACTATCAGTTTCTTTGTGATTCTCATACCTTTGAGTTAACAGGCAAAAAAGAGAGGTAGTTTGGCTGAAGTGACTAATCCTTACTGCCAAGGGGAATTGGGCTACTACTCAACAATGCAGGTAAAGAAGAATGTGTCACTTGGACTTGTTTAAGGTTTTCCGTGTCTTGTGACTAGGCAGTGGAAAAAAACTACAACTCAATCCAGATGGAAATATTAATGGCCAGACACTTCAGAAATGGAGGCTTGGATCACCAGACCTGTTCAGATGCTTACTTAAAATCAAAGCAAATACAGAATTTGTAGCACAAGTATATAAGTATATAAACCCATCATTAGCTAAAGAAATGAGAACTGCAAAGCCATGAGAATTTTCTTATTCTCTTATTTTGTATGAAAACACATATACTAAGCAAGTATCTATGCTTGCTCTTTTATTCTCTTCACCATGTAGCACAATGTGTTGAGTTTACTTCCTTACTTTTTGAGTGAAAGAATTAGAATAGTGATAAGCAGAATAATTGAATCATGTTAGAATTTTTACCTTGTTATTGTCTGTATTTGGAGTTAAATATGGCTTTAGGAAGTGCTTGGTAGTATCAACTTGACAAAAGATAGACTTGTGATCATTAATTTTATGTGTCAACTTAGGGTTGTTTAGATAGTTGATAAAATGTTGTTCCTGGGTGGTTCTCTGAGTACTAGGGAGTTATTAGAGAGTAAAGATTACCATCACCAAGGAGAACTGGCATTATCAATATGTTAAGGCCCTATTGAATAGAACAGAAAATCAAAAGAAGGATGAATTTACTTTTTGCTTGAGCTGAGACATTCATCTTCTCTTGTACATAAATATCCATTAGCACTTCTGGTTCTTATACTTTTGAACTCTGACCAGGACTTACAACATTGGATCTCCAGTTTTCAAGCCTTTAAACTTAAAAACTAAATTATAGTACCAGCTTTTCTGGCTCTCCAACTTGCAGGCTATAGATCATGGGATTTTTTGATGTCTTATAATCATTCTTATCTACAAGTCCATTATCCCCTTATATAGTTTGACATTAATCCCATATGATCGATTTTATCCTTTACTTTGAGACAATATAACTGAAATGATGTATTTAGTAAGCAGTACACATAGAATTTTTCCAAATATTAGGATAATTGTATTTTTATTGCTATCAGATTATAATTACACACAATTACAATTAAAAACAAAGATTGACCTTTATACATTTTTATAACTTTTCATATCTCATGACTACTGGCAGAGTAATTGTGAGAGAACTTTAAAAATAGTAAATACATACTATAAAATAGTATGCAATTTTTTGTTCAAAAATTTTTGCTTATATATATGTTTTATATTTCACTGTATATATAAATTTTCATTTTTTCCTGTCAGTTTAAAACCATAAAATTCATATTTTGTATCTCAAGTAATAATACAATGCATGTACTTTTTACTTTTCCATTTTTCTTATCCATTGAAGATAATTACTCTGGAAAAAATAAGCAAAAGAGAAAAAAAATCACCCGCATGAAAAATTAAGTTAAAAATGATGATTTAACAAGTAGCATTAGGTTATACTGATTATAAAGTAGATTTCTATCATGAAATTTATTTGTAACTAAATAAATTTTGAATTTGTATATACAAGTTATAAGTGATTAAACATTATTAGAAAAACATTGCAAAAATTAAATGCAAATTGAAATGTCATTTTTGGCTTATGTCTATGATATGGTTAATATTGAAATATATTCTCCAATATTTTCTAATTTTTCTTATATACAGCTATATAACTATCACCATATAATTAATATATAAACTATATTTGTGTTGTTTATATTTATCTTATACATTAGATTTTATCTGTCTTGGTCTCTTTTTCTCTCATTCTTAAAACATTTAGTACTCACTGTGATGTCATATAATTCAGGAAGTCTCTGTTCTCCAGGTTACTCTTTGGGTTCACTCTCACTTTCAAGTTGCCTATATATTTAAAAATGAAAATAATTAATTAAAAATGAAAAAATAATCGTTTCCCCCCCAAGATTGTTCTACACATCTCTGTACTATCATTCAGTACTGGGACAGTTGTGAATCCCCATCTGAGAGCATCCATTACTTGATAGTGTCTTACTAATGAAAACACCTATCAACAGAAAGTCCAGACTAACATGAGAAAAAGCACAGTAATATAAATTTACTTGAAAATCAACTCATATCACTTTCCTGTTGATAACATAATTAGCTAAGTAGTTTAAAGCATGATTTGTCATTTGTATTCTGCTATGTTTATTTCTAGTAAGTTTACTAGCTTCTTTACCCCAAATATCTTTACTTTTAATTTTTCCACAGTAAAGTTATCTAATTTAAGACAATTCCTTTAATGTGTTAAAGGAGTAACTGAATTATGTTAACTATTTCATGTGCCACATATTATTTTAGCAACTTCCATAAAATTTCATAATTTTTATCCTAAAGTATATTTTCTTTAAAGTTATATTACCCAATTAATTTTAAATCTTTGACTAAAATTCAATTAATTTAGTAAAATGTAGGCTACAAGTATAAAACTCAAAGCAGAAATAATTTAATAGCAACCTGAAGGAAATGAAATCACTTATACATATATATTTTCATTTTTTAAGCATATTTTTATTAATGATCCTCATATCTTTAATAAAAATCTGCTTATTTCCCCCTGTACCCTAGCTGCAGCTATAATCTAAATTTCTGAGCATTACTTTTTATGTTATGTAGCTTGTCTACATCTTAATTCCTATCTTGAGTATAATCAATTTATCTGCATAAAAGGGTAGTTACTCTCCTGGATTTCCTTACTGCCTTTTAACAACTAGTGTAGGCAAATTTTATATAAATATATCAAAGTTAAAAAGTAATAAAATAATGTTTAATACATAATTATTAAGATGAAACAAAAAAGGAAGCAGATAAAGATTAGAAAAAAATATTCCTACGTATTTCTACCCTTAACAAATGTCCAAGTTGTTATAAGACTAAAATCGCCTATATATTTAAATGTGTTCATTGTTAATCATTGGTATATTAACTATCACATATCTATATAAGGATAAAAATTAAATCTGAAGTATTTCCAGTTGTATCATTATAATACTGTTTGTTTATGAGTTACTATATATTCCAGCAAATTGTAAAAGTCATAGATCTGAAATAGGAAGTCATTGTACTCATCGCTTGTGTACTCTTCATTTCTCCATTTTTTTCGTTGTAAGTAAACTTTCACGAGATTAGCAATCAGTAATAAGAGAGCAATAAAAAAAGGAATGAGTAAGTAATATGGCCATCGTGGGCGTTTGGTATGGTAAGCATTCTCAATGTATCGGATACCTAGGAGAGAAACACAAATAGTGATTTGAAAGTTACGTATCAAAGATATCTCTGTATTTTAATATGACCCTTAGAATGAAAATATTTAAGTATTAATTATATAATTAACTTTATAAAAAGTAGAATTTGAGAAGGGTGGGGAAAGGAGAGAGAGAGAGAGAACCACTGTGGTACAAGAAACAACCTCCAAATTTGGTAAGTTAAAACAATTATTTTATTTTCATTTGTTGTGTATTAGGAATTTAGGGAATGTGTGCATGTGTGTCAATGTCATTAAATTTCATACAGAACAGATAAACTTCAACACAATGAGTATTCCAATAGAGTTCCAAGAATTAGTATTCTAAAATACTCAATTGGAATTAGAGGAAGGCCATGAGTGCCTCAGAATCTCACTTGTGAATTTTATGGACCAACCATATCATAAGTAAAAGAATTCTAGAAAAGGAATATCTCTTCTGCTTTGCTCTTTTTGGAAATTGCAGTTGCACCTATATGTGTGGATATAGGTGCAACTTGAAGATAAACTACTGCAGTCAACTTGAAGATAAACTACTGCAGTCAACTTGAAGATAAACTACTGCAAGTTAATTGCTACTACTAAAATGGAAATAGCCGGATAATAAGTTCATACTAGGTATAGTGTTTTTTCCTAACTATCCTATCATCTGACCTTAAATATCATATATCCAACACTGGAAGGAAGGTGGGAATGTTAAATGTTAATATATGAAAAAGAAACTCCTTTAATTATCCATGAATATGTTTTTATATAAAATAAGTCTAGTGCAAAGAAATATTGTACATACCCCACAAGCTCCTTAACCTATCTTTTAGTAAGATTTGAATCAAGGATACAATTTGGGTGGTCAGAAGAGAGCATGAAGTAGTATGGTATTTATAACCTTCCTCTCGAGCACTACACATAATGGGTGTGTATGTTCTATGACTCTACTGATGTTGCACAGTACTTCTACTTATGGCTCTAGATCCTGCTAAATAACCATGACCTTAGCACCATACCATTCTAAATGACTCAGAATCTGGTTCTAATAATACCATCTCTTTTCATTGTCCCCCAGAACAAAGAAATAGGAGTAGATTCCAGTTTTTATTAATCTCTCTATTGCTTTCCCACTTTGATTGACTTTCATCTCAGTGTAACCTGATGCCTGATACTCAGTTCCTTTTATATAAAGGACTAAGGTGGTATCTGTTTTCCTGTCTTATCTCATTTATAGCAAAGTAGTTACTGATGTATTTCTATTATAATAATTCATTTAATGTTATCATATACAGACTTTAATGAAAACGACATTTAAAGAAACCAGGTCCACAAATAATGTTTAATGGTGGTCAGGGACATTTTTTTTCTGATAAACATTATAACAACATGGTGTTAAAACATCATTTTTCAAAGATCTGCTGCATATATTACATTACCCTCGAAGTAAAACATAAAGAGTCATGGATTATCACTTAATGTTCCAACATAAATAGCAAATTGATAGGCAAAATATTATTTATTTTATTTTATGTAATAAGTTTAAATGCTTTAGTTATGTTTTCAAGTCTTCATTGATACATACTGATTGGTGTGGATCCATTAAGTGGAAAATTTCCACTGTCGATACTTCCACCAGGATATGAGTCATCTGTATCTTGGCAATTTGGAGGTAAAAATGTGGTATCGCAGTGACAGTTACCATTATTATTGCAAACCTAAAACCAGGAGAAAGATCTGGCAAAATACTTATAAGAAGTTAGAATTAGTTGTGTTCAAGTAAAATTTTGAAATAACTTATAGGTCAGATTGGGCCAACGTTAATGGAATAGGGATGTGTTCGTGCGTACATATGTGTTTCCTTAAGAGAATCATTGATTTCTATTTTGACATATGACTGGTACTTACACCATGACTGTTACATTTATCTGCAGCACACATCTGTTTCAAGTATTCATTTTCTACACATTCTTTATTCTTACAGATCTGAAAAGGAAAGAATCAGAAATAACTTCACTGAAATGCCAATTATAGTTGATATTTAGCTAAAAGTACCCCACATGATGCTGACTTAATAGGTATTCATTTAACATTAGACATTGCTATACTTGCACTAAATAGTAAACTTATATATGTTTGCAACTATGGATGACATTGATTTCTTGAGAATAAACAAAATAATATAAGCAAAATATATAACTTCTTACTCTGGAATAGGGGATATAAGCATTAAATAAATAAACGCAAAGATAAATATATGATAAATATTACAGCGAAGCAATTCTTTTGTGAAATAATATAGGGGATTTATCTAAATAGTGAAAATGGTAAAGTCTTTTTTTTTTTGAGTGAGTCGTGTTTTTGAATATGACTTAATCAAGCAGAGAAGTGCTAGACAAAGTACTAATAGGACAAAAGTAATATTAAAGATGGTCCTAATTTTCATGATAGTAACACACTTTTGAGAAATATTAAGGACAGCATAACTGTTACACAGAGAACTATCCAATCTTTAATGAGAATACAGCAGTGAATAAGAGAAATCTTATGTTGCAATAAGAAGAGACATATACAGACAGGCCAAAGAGCTAAATGGGATGTGAAAGAAGTTGTAGGCTTGTGTTGGGCCCTCCAATTTTATTCAGAATTTTAGTCTAATACCTGCAAGTAATGTATTTAGAGATTCAATTGGGAGAGAGAAAGCTGATAAAAGTATATCTTGGAAAATGAAATGAAAAGGGCAAGAGAATGTGCACTTTTTATTATGAGAAAAGAAGTAGATAAACAAAAGTGAAGTATAAAATGCTAAGAAATTATTTGAAAAAACCTACATACCTTATTTTCACCACAAACAGTTCCATCTCTTACCCACATTCTTTCGTAATCTTCCATACCATATTTATAATCCAAAGTAACGCAGATGTGGTTATTTATGTTGGCATAGACAGCAGTGACATTTTTAATATTCATTACACTATTTTTACCATATGTACAGATTAATTTTCCACACATTACATTCCTGTGTTTCCAATAAAATGAGAATTGTTTGTTTTCAAAATATTAGAATAGATTTCTAAAGCAAAAGATTTAAATAAAACATTGAAGATATGCAAAAAGACACAGACAACTACTTGGAAGCCACATAAAAGTGGGTATAACATGCATTGTTAGTAATAATTGAACATTTAATGACTAGAAACTACATTGTAGTTAATCACTTTTTTTGTAATGACTTATTTAATGTCTAGCAACTACATCATAGTTAGCTTAATCGCTTTTTTTTAATAACTTATTCACTGCTTTTTTATGACTGAATATAATAATCCCAAGCTAATTCTAGTCTAGAGACTGGTAAATTTATATAATAACCAGTTTCATTAAATTTCTTTTTCAGTGTTTCATATACTCACTGTGTTATGGTCTCAACTGACAAGGCATTGAGAACCACACTCAAGAAATACTATATGCAATTAATACTAAAAATAAAATTAATAAAGACATAATAATCGTAGTGATTCAAGCCACAGGAAAAAAAAAATCATGAAAGCAACCAGAAAATTAACAGGTGTCATTAACAACAAAAGGACAATCCAATCCAATATTAACTTTCTAACAGAAACAATGACAACCAGAGACTATTGAATGATAACTCCTAAAAGGAAAAAGGAACTCTATACTTTATACAAAGAAAATGTATTTCAAATTGATATGGAGAATTTTTATTCAGTAATTTTTAAAAAAAGATTTATTTGTGCATACAGAACTGGGGTACAGGCCAGAGGTGTAGGGGCGGTGATAGCATTCACCAGAGACAGAGTGGGGAGCAGAACAGACAGATCATCGTGTACACTGCTGATGGGAACAGCGGGCAGGTCAGGAGAGGTCTGATGTGCCATGTGGTCACCTCTGGGACAGGTGGGGATCAAACTCATGCAGAAGTAGCTTTAGCTTCTTAGTGGTGTGCTTTAACCTGCTGCACCACCAGGGAGGGCCCTCATTCAGTAATTTAAAAAATGTTAGTATCAGCAGTATTGGACTGAAAAAACAAGCCAGTTCTTCATCAAAGAGGATTTATTTTAGATGAAAGCTAAATATACATGGTTTTTACCAGATTTTAGGCTTATTTTTTTTTCTATTTCTAGTTAGATGACAGTTTGTATCATGGATAAGTGTTAGGTGTTTGTATTAAATCAGACACACAATAAAGGAAATCATATAAAACAAAAACTTGTATGGGTGTTCAGCAAGATGGTTCTAGAACGAAGATTTCTGGGCTCACCTCACTGACATGTTCACAACTAAATTAGAGCAGATGAAGTCACCAGCCCTTGGAAGATGAATAAATGATTACCTCATCTGTTGGGAGCAAGGGTGTGGCAGAAAGTATAAGTAAAACTTTAATTAAGCTGTTTTCAGAGAGACACTGAAGCAGTACAGCTCATGGTGGGAGGAATGGCTACTTACAGGGCCCCAACACTGTTAATTGAAGGACATAGGAGGAAGGTATATTAAGCATAAAGAAATAATTGTTGAGAATTAGCTCTGTCTGTGAATTAAAGCAGATGTTCTGACCCAAAAGACTCACACAGGGTTCCAAGCAAAATAATACCAGAAACACACAACAAAATACATGATAAAACTGTTAAAAGTCAAAGACAAGGACAAAATTAAAAACATGGAGTGAAAAACAGTAAGGCAATACCAAGTAGACCATTCATGAACTTTTCCAAAGAAAAATCAATCTACAGGAGATTTCATTATTCAAAGAAAAAGATTTTCAGCCTAGAGTATTTTATCCTGCAAAATTATTATTCAAGGTAGAAGAATAAGAACTTCACTGAAAAATAGGGTAAAGATCTACATAGACCAAAAGGAGAGTGTTGAAAAAATATTCCAAACAGATGGAGATATATAAAGTATGTTGGTAAGACTTTGAAATATAGAATGTAATAAAAAGAAAGGCACTATAAGTCTATCTATAAAGAAGATAAAATTGAGTAATATATATGCTCTCAACATAGAAGCACCTAATTTATAAACCGTTTTTTTTTTTTTTTTTAAAGATTTATTTGTGCATACAGAGCTGGGGTACAGGCCAGAGGCTCAGGGGCGGTGAGAGGCTTCACCAGAGGCAGAGTGGGGCACAGAACAGGCAGATCGATGAAGTACATTGCTGAGGGGAGCAGCGGGTGGGTCAGGAGAGGTCTGCTTCGCCATGTGGTCACCTCCGGGGCAGGCGGGAATCGAACTCATGCGGAAGCAGCTTTAGAATCTCTGTGCTTTAACCCGCTGCGCCACCAGGGAGGGCCCATAAACCAGTTTTTAACTGCCTACTTATGGGTGACTGTGGATATGCCCTATCTTTTTGAGATAAAATGTGAGTATTAGGCCCTTCCTGGTGGCACAATGGGTTAAGACTCAGCACTACGAACCTGTCTCCAGCCATTGCAGCATCAGTTCCATCCGCAGACAGGGAGGTGATCCTCATGGCATGACAGACCTTTCCTGACCTGCCCGCTGCTCCCCTCAGCAGTGTATTTCAGTATATCTGCCTGTTCTGCTTTCCACTCTGCTTCTGATGAAGCTTTTCATCCCCCACATCTATGACAGGTACCGTAGTTCTTGTGTACATAAATTGGAAAAAAAAAGTGAGTATCAGGACCATTAGCATCAGACTGGTGCCAGTGTGGCATTTAAATTTCTGAATGAAGCGGCACAAAATATGCTCAATAAGAATGTCAGTTAAAACCTTACAACTAAGTAATGAATAATTAGGATACCTATTTAAATTAAACACTCTGGGAAAGTACAGGAAATAATTTGAACAATAAGAAAGACAACAGGCATTTTATATTAAAGACATTTACATTTTGATTAAATACTTTATGATTAGGTGGTTTGTTTTTGTCTAATAAATGTAATTATCTGGTGCTATTTTTAAATTTAAAGCAACAGATAGTTCCTCAGATTTCATAAAGTACTCACTTAGGGTCACACTTTACAAATCCTGAAGGACCTGAGCCACAGTGTCCAGATACATCAGCCTTAGAATTAAGGAAAGTAAAACATTCTGGAGTACCAAACTCTGCACCTGAAAAAAACATGTGTTTAGTCATATTAAACTTATGTTAATTTAGAATCAGTAAATTTTTCCTAGTTCCTGAGAGGCAAAATTATCTATTTGAGCTATTTTTTGTTTCTTGTTGTGGGCCTACATTATGGTATTCTTCACTCTTAGATTTATTTTTGCTGAGCGCTATAGGTTCTGGTAGATTGTGTCCTCATTTTAATCTGTCTGGAGTTACTTTTTAAACTTCTTCCTAGATTTCTTCATTCAGTAGTGTATTGTGCAGACGTTTTCTTTTTGTGGTTGATTTCTAGTTTGATACCATTGAAATTAGAGAAGATTCTTCATGTGATTTCAATATTTCTGAATTTATTGATACTTATGTTGTAACAGAATATGTGCTCTATCCTGGAGAATGATCCGTCTTCACTTGAGAAGGATGGACTTACTTTTTAGGGGATCTAGTGGCCTATGAATGTCTATTAAGCCCAGGTGGTCTAATTCTTTGTTTAATGTTATTATTTTCCTGCTTTTGTTCTGTCTGACAGATGTGTCCATTGGTCAAAGTGAGACATTGAACTCCTCAGCCTCTGTTATGTTGCTGCCAATGTCTGTTTTTATATTTGATAATAATGGCCATATATATTGATGCTTCTTCATTTGGTGAATGTATATTGAGGAGTGTAATGTCTTATTGTGTTGTTTTCCTAATTATTATACAATGTCTATCCTTGTCTCTTGTTACTAAAGGCCAGTAGAAAGAATAATGAAAATGACAGCAGAAATAATGAAATAAAAACACAGGGTGAAAGATCAGTGAAACCAAAAACTGAAGCCTGTATATGCAATATCTCCCTAGAAAGAGAGTGAGCAAGCATTGCAAGCGAACCATGGTATTAACCTTTTTGTTTTCCAACACAGTGTATGCCATTTTTTTATGATTTCATTATTCTTGGATTTCTGTGAGTTCACTTTAAGATTTTCATAGTCATCTTTGCAATTTCTAGGAATGAAGGTGTACATCTGTGTCTGTTTCTATGTGTGGTTTAATTTGTATTCATGGGAAAACTGGTAATTGCCCTTTTAATGTCCATAGCGGTGTGCATTTATTCTGTATTTACAATAAAAGCTTTTGATATACAGGAAAAGAAGAAATGTAGCTACAGGAAAAGAAGAAATGCTTACTCTACTTTCTTCATTGGGTATGCAGATCCCATAGATTTTTGAGTATCTTCCCTATTACTGTGTGGAAATAATTAAGAATTTTAATCCTATACAACTTTTTCCTCACCTGTATGATGTCATTCTTCTTTCCTATAGTCCTTTCAAATATTTATTTACTTTCAAATATTTATAGCAAAAATCATATTATTTATAAACTCACAATTACATGTTCAGTTCCCTCAATACTCCCATGTATACAGTAAATAAAAGTATAATAATAAATACCTTCACCATATATATCAGCACACTGTGTTATCCCGTCTATACATTTTCCATTCACACAGAGCCATTGACTATTTTTGCATGGAACGCCATCCTGCATATAAGAGTTAGACTGACATATCGCAGATGTTCCATTGCAATATTCAGGAAGGTCACAATCATCCATGGTAGCTCGACATAATTTTCCTTTATTTGAAAACTGATGAGATGCAGTAATTAACATTAAATGAAACAGAAGACGTATATAGAAATAATGTAGAAAGCAATTTTTTACTTATGTAGCTAACAGAAACATTTAAAAGGTCTTTTACTTTACAGTTTTCACAGCACATTTCACCATCACAATCTAATCCATTCTTCAGAGTACATGATGCAGGTTCACAGCACTGGTTTCCCTCCTTCTGACAAGTCTGAAAGGCAAACCAAATGCTCTGAATTTTCTTCCAGTGGAGTCTGTGTTGGATAGAAAGCTTTTTTAATGAGAACGCATGTAATATGCAGATAGATGCTTAACTTAACATGTTGCCAGACAAAAAGTAGTATCAATTCATAATACATCTGTTTAACAGACTTTTATTATGTGTGTTAGTCTGTGTTCCTTTTGTCCCTAGAGTAGCTACACAATACTGGTGGTAGAATTTTATGGAACTCCAGGTTCTCTAAAGTGCAGCTATCAATAAAATTGCTGGTTCTTATACACAAAGATATATCAAAGTTTAAGAATTAAAAAAAAAAAGCTATGATTTTAGCAGGAGTCTAATGGACCAGGAGAAAAATAAATAATAATAATGAACAATTATATACCAGAGACATTTATGGGGGTGGAGTGGGGAATGGGATCAAAAACAGCAGAGGGGAGGGAAATGCACTGGACTGTGGTGATGGCACATGGGTGATGTGATGGGAAGCCCCTGGGGATTACAGCTGAGTTGAAAAAAAAAAAAGCACAAAATGATGTAAAAATAAATTATTATGTTATTAAAAAATATGATTTAAAATTTTCATTATGTTGATTAGTTTTGAATCAAACATTATAAATCTATTTTAATATCTGTAACTTTTATGGGCTATACTATAATTTTGCCATTTGTAAATATATAACTCAGTAGTTTTTATTTTTTAACTTATTTTTATTAATAGATACTAGTAAGATACCCCCAGCAGGTAGGACCACTGTAGTGTACCCACCACCAAGTCATCTGCATCACTCCACCACAGACTCTATCCCTGTCACACATGGGGCTTCAGTGCTACAGTTGGCTGTCAAAGCTTAGTTTTTCAGCTTATCTTTATCTGAATATTAGCTACTTTATGTTCCACATATTAGTGATACTATCCGGTGTTTTATGTTTCCTCCTGACTTATTTCAGTTAGCATTATCCTTCCAAGCTCTATCCATGTTGCTGGAAATAGCATGAATTTGTCCTTTTTGATCTCTTGAATAGTATTCCATTGTGTGTGTGTGTGTGACATCTTCTTAATCTACTCATATTTTCTGGGGGCACTTAGGATATCTCCATAATTTAGCTACAGTAATTAGTTTTTCAATAAAGATGGATGTGCAAGTTTCCTTTTGAATTAGTTGAATTTTGGGGGTAGAAGCCTAAGAGTAGCAGTACTGGTTTGACAGTTTGAATGGTAAATCCATGTTTAATGTACCAGTTTGCACTCCCGCTAGCAAGAAGGGCTCCATTTTCTCCACATCCTCACCAGCTCTGGGTGTTTTTTGATATGGAACATTCTTATAGGTATGAGGTGCTATCTCTCTGTGGTATTGGTTTGCATTTCTCTAATAACAAGTGATATTAAATTTTATTTTTATTCTCTAATGATGAAAACCAGAAAATATTTTTGAATGTGGCATATTACCACCTTCACATTACTCGCTCATACTTTACTATACCTTGTTTTATGTTTTAATTCACCTTGCCCAGTGATTGTTGTTTTCAGAATTCCGCTACTAGGCTTAATAAAACAACACATAGAAGAGGACTGGAGAGATAATGCACTCACACACACACACACCCCATGGATCTTTACCTTTTCTTCTTAATAATTCCTAAGAATTTTAAATAGAGTTGGGCAAAAACTTCCAATAACTTATAGCAAAAAAGTATTTTTTGGTTTTAGTGCAAGTTATAGCATGATACTAGGACACACTAACTTGAATTATTTTCTTCAGCTATTCTGCCTAACAATGTTACCACTATTGTTATCAATATGGGATCCTAATTGGTAAAGAAACGGGGCTTGGGATTGAATTATACCAAATTTTCAAGGTATTTCCATTGGCTGATACAAATGAAAACAATTGGGTGCTTAAGGATAATTCACTAAAAACACCTTCTTCTCTAGGTATCTAAAAACATACTCACTTATTGCTGAGGAGGGTTTACATGAATGGGCTTACAATATTGAACAGTGAACTCCATTCATGTCTTCTATATGTTTCAGGTTCACAGACTCTTTTCCTAGTTTCACTGCCATTATTTCTACCTCCCATCTCTTGCCAATCAAGCAGAATTATCTAAGGAGTCCTACTTTGGCTTATTGATGTTTCAAATCTTTTTGTCTTAAATTCTGAACTAGACTAAAATATTCACAGCCACAAATGCACAACACTCTCACAAAATTCATTTGTAAAAGTTTTATATCTTCCTGAATTGCAATGGATCTTAGGTTATGAAGAAATACAAGGGAAGAACATACCCAAGAGAGGAGGTATAAGCCTAGATCAACTCACCAATAGGATTAAAGATCGTGAAAATCATGTGAGTGCATAATCTACATACCACACAGTTTATTCTTATCCATTTATATCTTAAGGTTTTTGTAAAAAAGCTAGCTCGATAAATTAGGGAATATGGTAATGGTAATATGATAAAAATTATTAATTTTGATGTAATTCTGGTATACAACCTTCCCAATTAGTACCAACCTCCACACCCCCACAGTCACACTGCTCTCCTTCTTCCACTTCTCCATTACCACAAACGGCACTTTTGTAGGATGGATCTAAGCGTGGGTGATTTTGAAGACACTGGGACTTCGACTTTGAAATGAAATGTGCAAAATCTTCCATGCTGCAGTTACTAAAGATCTTCACACCACTGGAATGACTAAAAAACACACCAAACTTCATTTTTTAATGGAAACATTGCCTCCATCATCTGCCTAACCTCAGAATAAGCTATTCAATAATATTCCACAACAGACCACATGCTCTTATTTTATTAGTACCCAACTTTCATTTTCTGGGTCAGGACAATTTTACAATAGAAAATCTATGGAAGAATTTATGTAAGATCTCTTAGTAGAGATAGCTGGTTAATAATTGGTTGTTACATTATACATATTTATGAAACTGAGGTTAACTGTGCTATTATCTCTGGGCCATAGTTGCTTTCTTTTCTTTTGTGACTCAGCGTGTTATCATACTCTTGTTTTAACAGAATAGATTGGCTTTTCCCTTCTTTATCTATATTTATTCATTGATAGTCATATCTAGTGTTACATTTTAAATAACACCTATATCTCCCTTGCCACATAATTGCAGAGAGTTAACAATTTGATGCATATATCTGAAATACTGTTCCTAATATATTTTATCCCCCAATGATACCTATTTTTCTTCAATTTCTTTTATTTGTTGATTGAGTACCTTCTGCTATTAGATTGCTTTTAATTGCAGGAGGAAAGGCATTTCAAATATGTTCACTAGCACAGATTTAAAAGCTTAATAATTGAGTGTGGTTTGAAACTTTTATGAATAACTATGTTTTTCATTGTGAGTAGTATTAACATATAGAAATTATAATCATGAATGTCTGTAATTGTAATTTGATTAGATATAACTAATATTAAGCCACTTGTTTATCAAGCAATAAACTCAACTCCTAGGCCATAAAATATTACAGATTTTTGAACTACCAATTTTGATTTTTTTTCCCCTATGATTACATTTTGTTTGCACATAACCTTTGGCAATATTGAGAAAGAATGATGGTTTTAGCATTGTATGGTTAATAATTCAAAAGATTTATATCTAAATATAAAAAACTAAATGTAGAAAAAGCAGCAGAACTTTATTTATTACTGGACATTAAGCAATGTATAATACATTTAATAAGTGTTAATCATTTTAGAGGGGTACTTTTTCTGGTGATGAAATTAATGTTGGATTATATGCAAGTATGGAATGTATGGTCTTTGCACAGGTTAGATATTCTTGTTTTTCCAAGCTTTTGTTTTGTCCTTGATAATAGAGCCTCTGATTTTTTTAGTTGAATAGATGACTTCCTTGTGTAATGTCTATATTTCTGAGCCTTTTTAAAAATTAGTAAGGTCAAATAACTGATTTAAAATAAAGTCATAAATTTAAGTGTCAGGAAAATGTGACAGTTATACTTTGTGTTTCTTTATTCTGTTGATGACTATAATTCTTATTAACCTTTTAGTTAAAGCTTACATCGTTGGCTAGGAAGTAATCTTGGGAATAACAGCCACTGTGTAGAAATCGTAAAGTTAATCTGTGCACAATTTATTTAATGTTACATTGCCAAGGTTAAAAACAAGTTGCTTGTTGCTATAAGCCATTACTACTTTGGGTTTTCTGTAACTTGAAGCCAAGTCTAAATACAAAGTCTGTCCCAATCAATGAATATTTCAAAATGGATATTACTATTATCCATTTTTCAAAAGTTCCATTTCCTTATAAAAAATTATATAACATTGCCAATAAAATGCAATGCTCTTCTTACAGTTATAGAGAATAATAAAACATTACTTAACTCATAATCAAAATATCTAATATTTTTTATATTTTAGTATAAGCAACATGCATTAGAAATAGAATGTATAAAACTTAAATATAACATTGAAGGAATTATTAGAGGTATTCTATGTAGTAACTCAACTATTTCAGCAAATATTTCTATTTTTTCTGTGAATCACATATAGCTGTGGTACAAGCAAGCAAAAATGAAAAACAAGAAAGATAATAAGTGCTAGTGTTAAATATATATATATTATATACATGTAAAAATTACATTTTTAGACCACAATAGATTTTAAATCAGAAATCAGTAACAAAACCAGCAAGATCATCCACAAGTATTTGAAAATCAATTGACTACTGACTTAATTATAAAATAACCCACTAGGAGAATCAATCTAATCAAAATGACTGTCTTGCATAAAGTTATATACAAATTTAACACAATCTCCATCAAAATCTTTTTCAAAGAAACTGAAAATTTTATAATGCACAATCAACTGATAAATCAATCTGCATAAAAGACAGTTATGAAGTTATTAACATAATATGAATTCCTTTTAAATCAGACCCTGAGATTAGAATTAAAGTGCAAGTATTTTTAGGAAATAATTGTGGAAGTAGGAGTGAAACAATAGTGAGAGTAAGATATTATCAAGTCTACTGCTATAAACAGTGGGGCTTGATATAGACCATAAACTGAATTTCTAGCCATCTGTAAAGAAGAAAATTCCCTCAAGATTCATTCATCAGAAAGATAAGAGGTCGACTCCAATCACTGAGTAAACTATGGTTTTGCTAAATCTCCTGACTATTTGGGGGTTTATCAGGTACTCTACGAATAATGGTGAGTATAGACAACAAAATCACTTCATGTTGAGCCCAGACAGAATAGAGATTTATGCAGACAAGACCAATAGATGATTCTTGTATAATGATTACAACTCAGCATTTAGCTTATTAAATCATCTAATAAATTACAGAATCATGCAAGTAAACTGTATAAATGTAGAGTTAGTTCATATAGAAAGCAAATATTTTGATTGTAAGAGATATTTGTGATAAATATATAACAAGGGGGTTTGTTGACTACAGCTTATATTTGACCATGATTAATTATTTTAGGAGGTTAGAATGTCTTAACCTAAAGTGAACCTAAGTTATTGTTATATAAACTATATTTGTAAAGCATATAAAATTAAGTCATCTTACATTGCTTCTGGGTTCATTATGCAGACACTTCCTGAGCATTGACAGTTGTTAATGTCATCATAAGCTATTCCCATACTTAAACTCAATAACTGAGCCAGAATAACTGCAAGTGATTCCAGACTAATGGTTTTGGGGTGCTGGAAAAAATAACATAGATGTACATACATTTTAGGAGAAAACTGATTTTCTTTGCAGGAAAAGTAAGGCAAAGATTAAAAGTAGTCACATGATAAAATGTAATAGAGGCACCTCATATGCTAATCATAGAAATGCCATCCATGTTGGTCTGATGCTTACAGCTACCATTATCATTATTAGAAAAATATGACCAACCTGAAATTTAAACAGTTAAAGTATGTGTTTCATTTGTGTCATCAGGCCAAGAAATAACTTGCTCCAATCACTTTCTATTTATCTGTAATGTTATAGATTTATTTGTATTCATAAAATTGTTTAATATACACATATAAACACATGCAGTGTTAATTTACTAACACATTGTGTTTATCCATAATTACAATTTAGTAATACCATTTATTATGGAAGCAACTAGTTTGCAATACTAAATATGATGCAGTAGTAGTGTAGGTTCACACTAATTCAGATATATGTTGGCAGACCACACCCATCAGCAAATCACACTGTGCATCCAGTACCCACCCCTTACTCATCACCCCTTACTCTTGCCCTCTGGTAGTCTTAATTTTGCAGTTAGGTCTTTATGGTTTATTTTGATTATTTCTGTCTGTTACTTTGTTATCTTTATTATATTCCATATATGAGTGAAAATCACCTTCTTTAGAATTATTTTGGTTAGCAAAACACCCATCCAATTTCCTCCATAGTGTCACAAATGGAGTGGTGTCATCGTTTTAATGGTATTTTTTTGGAGTGTGTCTAAAAAAAAAAAAAAAAATCTTTCCTCTTTCCTGCCACCATCCCATGTGTCCCTTATATCTTTCCTTCTCCCTACCCTTTCAACCTCAGGGCTCTTAGGAGGTTTATTAATGTCCATCTGCTATGAAAATGTTTATTATTTGATTGTTTTGACTTACATTCTGCTCCTATTTCTCTCTCTATTTCCCTCCATTTTGTTGCAAATGGCTGCATTTTCAACATGGCTTCCTTTTTTGTCAATAGATGTTTAGGTGGTTTCTTTATGTTCTGGATATTGTTAGTAATCTGTCTATGAACACTGTAATATGTGTGGGATTTTTCACTGAGAACTTCATAGTCTGTTTATATACGCCAAGGAGTAGGATAGCTGGATTGTATGGCATCTCCATTTTTAGCTTTTTGAGATCAATTCAGGTTATTTTCCACAGTAGTTGTACCAGTTCACTTTCCCTCCAACAGTGGTATTAGAAGATTTTCTCCAAATCCTTCCAATACTTGTTGGGGTATCTTTAACATGTACCATTCTCTTGGTTTGAAAGAGTATTTCATTTTAGTTTTAACCTGCATCTTTCTTGTAAGTAACAATGATTTTTTTAAAATAAGTTTTTGGCCTTTTGTACATCAAAATTTCCATTAACTGATTGGAAAAGGCCCTGTTTCAACTATTTTTATTTTAAAACAGCAATAAATTCAGCAATATTAATCACTGGTACTTAAATAATTCATAGATATAAGTAATTATTACAAATGAGTTTGGAATGTATTATATGTACATATAAAATTACATTTATGTACATTTAAAAATTATATTTTGGACAATGATAGCTATTGAATCAGAAATTAATAACAAATATAATCCTGATTTTCCATAAATAGTTGAAAATACACTACTTTTCTTATAAATTAGACTGCTAGATGAATAAAGGGTTCTAAAATATTTTAACTAAATGAAAATACAAGATGTCAAATGAAGGACTTTCACAAAAAAACCAGATTTTAAATAATTATTATTAGATCTTTTACATTTAAGCCCTAGGGGAAAAAGAAAACCTTCACATACTGTTGGTGGGTAAAGAGCAAAGTAGGGAGAAGACTCCTGCACTATGGTAGATAACCAGTGCTCTGGTGTTAGCTGTGATGTGTCAATACACATCTGAAGAGTGTGAGCTATGCCCTTATTTTCAATAGGATGGTGAAAAAATTCAGCAATGTTTGTTCCTTTTTATTAGAATAATCCTGGCCCTCCCTGGTGGCAAATGGGTTAGGACACAGCACTACAAACTCGCAGAAGCCACTTCATTGTGAGTTTGACCCCTGGCCCCGGAGGTGACCCACATGGCACAGCAGACCTCTCCTATTTTACCCCCTGCTCCCCTAAACAGTGTACCTTGTTGATCTGCCTATTCTGCTCCCTACTCTGTCTCTGGTGAATTCTCTTACTGCCCATGCACTTCTGGCCTGTACCCCAGTTCTTTATGCATAAATAAACCTTAAAACAAACAAACAAAAGAATTCTTGTAAGTTACCATAAACTTTTCATGTACTTGCTGCAAATTTGTTCTGAATGCTTTTGTTTGGCAAGTCATTTCAATAGTTGCATACATGCCTTAGAGTATTTTTTAGTGTTTTTTATTTGATTTTTTAAGATATGGATCATAACTTCACCTTACTTTTTTAAAAAAAGCTATGGCACTTTTTTTTTTCTACCTGGAAACAGAAAAAATTTTCTTTGCATTAGATATTTTAATTTTATTGCTGGTGTTCACTTTCAGCCCTTTTTGACTCCTCAAGTGTCCTTGAGGTGTCAAACACTTTTCTTCTTTCCTTCCATATGCTTTTGCTCAAGATGTTGAGACGTCAGGAGCATTTCCTGGTATATACAGTTTTTGGTTCTGGTAGTAGCTTTTGTGAATATAATACTATGAAATTCATCTCCATTTTTCCTTCAAGAGTTTTCATGTAACTTTTACATTTTTTTCTGCACTAGTCTTAACATTTAGGCATGGCACTTCTTCAGTAATCCATTTCTCTTTACTATTTTCTAATACTCTTATGGTATCTTCTAGAAGCCCTAATTCTGCATTTTTTTTTTTAAAGATTTATTTATTTGTGCATACAGAACTGGGATACAGGCCAGAGGCTCAGGGGCGGTGAGAGGCTTCACCAGAGACAGAGTGGGGAACAGAACAGGCAGATGGATGAAGTACACTGCTGAGGGGAGCAGCGGGTGGGTCAGGAGAGGTCTGCCACACCATGTGGTCACCTCCGGGGCAGGCGGGAATCGAACTCACGTGGAAGCGGCTTTAGATTCTCAGTGCTGTGCTTTAACCCGCTGCGCCACCAGGGAGGGCCCTAATTCTGCATTTTTATTAAAGATTTATTTATTTGTTCATATAGAACTGGGATACAGTCCAGAGATGCGGAGGGTGAGAGGATTCACCAGGGACAGAGCGGGGAGCAGAACAGACAGATCGAGGAAGTACACTGCTGAGGGGAGCAGCAGGCGGGTCTGGAGAGGTCTGCCACGCCATGTGGATCACCTCGAGCTCATGCTGAGGTGGCTTAAGCTTCTTAGTGCAGTGCTTTAACCTGCTGCGCCATCAGGGAGGACTCTAATTCTGCTTTTTTAATTTAATAAACTGTTCTTTTTATATGACAAACCTGTTCTTTGTGTACTTCTTTATAACTATTATATTATTCTTATCCAATGTTTCCAACTAGTCCTTTTCTATATCTTATATTTTTTATCTATCTTGGTACATTACTAATACTTCTGTTTCAAGTGGTAAAAATATTATTTAATGTTTTCTTTTGAAGATTTAATACTCAGATTCTACAAGGTACATGAAAAAAGGGCAATAGATGATGTCCCTGTTGATACATCTTGTGTGTGTAGGAACATGTGTCAGTCCTTGTGAGTAATGAACTTACCCTGAGACAGTCCCAGAGTCCCAGCATAAAGAGCTATAGATATAAAAAAACTTCCTGTTTATTAATCTTGCTCCCATTAATTCCAAACTAATGAGCTGTGGCTTCACATACAAACTTTTTGGAATAAAGAGTATTGGAAGGAATTTATTCCATTGACTTATGAAATCTTTTAGAGAGGATGGTGCATTTTTAGATATCAAAGGGGAAGCATTCAGCCATTTTCTTCAAAACCTCACTCTTATGAGCATTGATAGTTGCTGATTTTTCTAGCAAAATGTACAGCAGTGATTAGTCCAGTAAAGGTTGGATAATAAACAAGAATAATATTAATGAAACCTATTCTCCCATTGCTTCTTTCACTATAGAAATCACTGCCCATTAAAACGTAACATGCCCAGGGGTCAGAGGGTTTTTAAAAGATAGAAGATTATGGAGCTCTCCCTGGTGGCACAGCAGGTTAAAGCACAGCACTAAGAAGCTTAAGCCACTTCTGCATGAGTTCCATCCCCGCCTGCCTTGAGGTGATCCACATGGCGTGGCAGACCTCTCCGCCCGCTGCTCCCCTCAGCAGTATACTTCCTCTATCTGCCTGTTCTGCTCCCCACTCTGTCTCTGGCGAATCCTCTCACCCTCCGCATCTCTGGCCTGTACCCCAGTTCTGTATGAGGAAATAAATCTTTTTTTAAAAAAAGATAGAAGATTATACTAGAAAGAATGAATCATAACCCTAAATATGAACTAATGTAACTGAAAACAGCTAAACGCAGCAAGTCATTTTTATTTTTTTAAAAAGCAGATGAGATTAGAAGATAGGGTGGGATGAAAAGGCTGAGAAAATTGTGAATAACAAAAAATAAGAAACCACTGTGTATCAGTGATACGACTTTCTGTAAGCAATAGCTTTACCTTCCACTTTGTATCTAGCCTGCCTTTAGAGAGCCTGCCTTCATAGCCATTCTGCTCTGCTGTCCTTTCAGTTCATTAGTGAAAGTCCTGCACCATGTGAGAGTCTTGTGATTTTTCAGTGTTGCTTTTGTGAGTGGGTAGATCTATCAAAATCCAACTTTTGAAATTAAGTAGATGACTTTTCCACTAATATAATTCACATGTTCCAAACTCTGATTTATACATTTCAAAGCTGAAATGTGTGTCTTCATTTCATTGTTGTTTTTTTCTATCATCATTTAGCTTCACTTAGCTAGTTCACTGAAACGAGTATTATGTTGGGAGGTACCAACATGAGTCTCATCACTACCACTTCGAAGCCCCACAGTGATGGCCTGAGTAAAATCCCTCACTATTAAACTGACCCACATGGCACTTAATACTTCAAGATTATCCAAGGTGAAAATTCCAGTGAGGGTACTGTTTGATTATGTTATTTGCCTATGGCCCGTGAAATTTTCCGAAAGCAATAGATAATTTCAAAAATTTATTTGGTTTATGATTACATTAGCTAGCCAGTTAAGAAAATGTACAAATCTAAGTTTGGAAATGAAGTTAATATATGATTAAGTATGGAATATAGAAACTCTTATGAACATTTTTCAAGACTCAAATACAACTTTCTTAAAAGGAGATATTTTGAACTCATTAGAGGGAAATAGAAAAAGTTGCTTTTGTTGTTAAGTTAAATGAAGACTTCTTACAGTTTAAACATTTTTATCAACAACAGGGAAAGAGAACCCTAAATCATTATGCATATTTGAAAAGATTTAGAAATAAGCAAGTCTTTAATTGCATACTAATTTAGGTAGATACTATGTCTACATGTTAACCAAACAAATTGAACCATACTCTACCAGAGCAACACCACCTCCGTACTTTCCGTCACACATCTTCCCTTGAAAGGTTGCACCAACATAATCTGGTTTTTCTCTGTAACTTGTTTGAAAAATGATAAGTATGATAAGACATACTTTAGTATTGAGCTTTCCTCAGATAATTCTTGAGTTATATATTAACTTCCTAGATATTTCTACCATATTATTAGTGTAACACAGATAAGAAGTGATTAAATAACTGTTTTTTTGAAAACAATATATTTAATAAATATACTTCTATACTAGAAAGTACAGTCTTACAAAATTTAATTAGTATTTTTTAAATTAAAATAAATAATTCTTAAAATAGCAACATAACAGAATCTCTTAAAATTAAAACGTTAAGACAATGTAGTTGATAAATGAGCAGACTCACCTTTTGGATAGAAATTCCCTTTAATCAAATAGAATTAGCCTGCCAAAATCATGTAAAGTTATAATGTATTTGGGGAAGAGAAAATAAAATATTATAATTATAGATATGACTTTAATAAAAATAAAATATGGGTAGGTTTTGAGTATTGAAGAGAGACAGCTTATTAAGTAGAACAGAGGCTTATATATGGTTTAAATTTACCACAATGATTACTGTATATTAGAGAAACTAATGTGTAAAAAAGGGATTCCACTTTCCTGTTAATTTTATTTTTTTTTAAATTGAAGTATATTAGATATCAGTTGTGTATATTACTAGGGGTATTTTATATTTTATAAGCTTTGTAATAAGAATGAATATGGAAACAAGTTTGAAAAAATGAGTATTAATTACAACTATAAATAGCATATATATTCAGTAATTCTTATCTGAAATCTCTAGTATCAAAAACAATATTGACACATGATGTTGTGTATGAGAAAAAATGAGCCTAAATATCTTCGTTGTCATTATTTAAATAGTTCAAACTAGGTTATATTTTCTCTCTATACTTACACAAGTAAAAATGCCACATCATGTGGACGCAAAACAAGATAAGATCTTTTCCATTTTAAAAATCGGTGTAATAATTCATTAGCATCTCCAGTTACTGGAATTTTATTTTCATCTACCCAAAATTCTAATGAAGATAGAATTATTGTAAGGTTAAGTGAAGTAAAAATCTAAAAAAAGAACACATATATAAAGTATATTTGAATATGGTTTAAACTATATGGGAATTTATCTGTGTAAATGAATAATATGAACTAATAAAAAATAATAAATAAGGTGTATACTAGGACTTATTTCATAAAACATGTTAGAAATAAAAAGTACCAGTAGAACAAGTAATGACTGACATCTTGAAATGTTTATCTTTCAGTATATCTCTGATAAATTATTTAATTCTTACAATAAGCTAAATATGCAAAATTATTATTGTTCCTATTTTCTAAGTAAGAAAACTGAAAAATAAAATGCTTACATTATTTTCTGTATTTCACACTTATATAGTCAATGTCATAAGAAATTATAGGAATTCAGTAAACCAAGCAAATCCAAAGTACTAAAAAGCAAACACTTACAGCATTGGTCAATCCAATCAACTGGAAAATTTTCTGACTGACAGTATCTGTATCAGAGCCCATGTGATTATACTGAAAAATATAATTACCATTTAGATTTAAATATGCAATGCCTAAGAGTAAATTATTATTGTTCTATTTAAAACTGTGTATCATAAAGTAAAAAATTATTTAAATTATCAGATGATTAGTTTTAAAATGTTATTTATCATAGAAATTACAATGATATATATTCAGATAAATAACATACATATGTATGTTATTTATCATAGAATTTACAATAATATATATTCAAAATATATACAAATTTTACAGTATCTGTATTAAGCTGATATTAAAATTAAACTAGAAGCAATAAGAAAAAAAATTACAGGCTAATATTTCTGATGAATATAGACATAAAAATCCTCAATAATTCACTAGCAAACTAAATTTAACAATACATTCAAAGAAACATATACCATGTTCAAATGGATTTCTTTTAGATATTTGAGGATGATTTGAATTATACAAATTAATAAACATAATATATCACATAAAAATTGAAGGACAAAATAATATGACAGAGGCAGATTAAGCAGCTGATAAAATTCAATATCATGATCTAAAAAATCATTAATATTGGAAATAGAAGGAAAAAAGACTATACATAACAAATCCACATCCAACATCTTGCTCAGTGTCAAAAAAAAAAGGGAAATGTTTTCTTCCAAGGTCAGGAACAAAACACAGATGTTGACACTCACTTTTACTACTTAAATAAGATTGGTATTCTGAGGCACAGGAATTACACACAAAGAAAGATATAAAAAGTACACAAATTGGAAAGGAGAACTGTCACGATTTGTAGAAAACATGAAACTATACAAAGAAAACCCCACAGATTGCAGTAAAAAATTATTTGAAATAATGAATGAATACAATAAAGTATCCACCTAAAAAATTGATATGTGAAAATTTCTTTAACTCCTATACATAAATAACAAACAACCAGAAAGAGAAATCAGGAAAACAATCCCATTTACTATTTCCTCAAAAAAGAATTAAGTACTTAGGAATAGATTTAGTCAAAGTTAAAGACTGTCCACTGAAAAACATAAGATTAGATTGAAAGAAATAAAAGATAAAAGAAATGGAAAGATGTTTTCGTACTCAGGGAATGGACAAATTAACAATGCAAAATGGCTATATTATATAAAGTAATATATATAAAATAAGGAAATTTTTTAAAACAGAAAAATGGTATTTCATGTTTCCTGATTTTAAATTATATTCTAAAGTAAAAGTAATTACAGCACAATGGTTTTGAAACAAAAATAGATACACAGATGAAAAGTCCAGAAATAAATTCATATATTTCAATACCTAAATTATGACCATGGAATCAAAATCACATAATGAAGAAAGGAAAATCTCTTCAACAAATGATGCTGTGAAAACTGGTCAGCCACATATAGAAGAATTAACTGTATAATGCCATTCACACCATACATTCAAAATAGATTTTAAACTTGGATGCAAGACACAAACCATAAAGTACAAAGAAGGACATTCCAGGAATTCAATAATAGAAATGTGTATGGTGACTCATCCCCTATGTAAGGAAAATGAAAGCAAAATAACAATTGGAATTAAATAAAATTTCAAGCAACAAAAAGCAGCAGTCATTGCTTTTGAAAACTTTAGGGAGATAATAGACCTACAGGTGTCTGTGGTAAGAGGTGAACAGGCCATCAAAGGGCCTGAGGAAAAGATGGGGTGACACAATTCAGAAATTGAAATTGAAATCGATTTTTGTATATTGGAATTAGCAAAGTGACACAAACATGCCCAGGCAGAAATGTGCTCTTAAAATACCTGAGAACATCCTGAACTTTCACCTTGGCTGAACCCTAGACTGAGAGCAAGCCCAACTAATCAAGGAAGGACTTCCCTGGCACAGAGACAATCTGAAAAAAATAATAAGAAAACAACAACAAACATGACAAGTGATTATTTTTTCTAATGTTAAATTTCAACAAAATCACCAGGGATATTTTATATTTTGGGTTGCTATACAAACAAGAACAACAAAAATACTATCGATTAGGTTCTTCAACCAGAAACATTTATTCCTTATAGTTTTGGAGGCTGGGAAGTCTAAGATCAGTGGGCCAGGAGATTTGGTATCTGAAGAGTAACCTATTCCTCTGTCATAGATGACCGTGTTCTTGGTGTATCTACATGTGGCAAAGGGGGCTCACTGGTGTCTGTATTTGAGGGCATTAGCCCCATTCATGAAAGCTCCAACTTCATGACTAACCAACTCCCAAAGACTCCATCCTTCAAATACTATCACATTATATATTATATGTATTTTGATATATGAATTTTAGAACGACAAAAACCATTTGGTATGCCATACGGTAAACAAACAACAAAGTGTGACTTGAAGGGGAAGAATAAACTGAGGGAAACCATCTTGAAGGAGGTACAGACTTAACCAGACAAACTTATTAAAACAACTGCTTAAAATACACTCAAAGAACAAAAGAAAAACACAAAGAACTAAGGGAAGTCAGGGAAGTTGTATCTGAACCAAATTAGAATAAGAACAAAATTAAATAAATTATAAAAAGTAATGTAACAAATGCTAGGACTAAACATACAGTAACAAAGTTGAAATTTTAACTGAAGCAGGTTTAATGAGGCAGGGAAAAACTCAATAAAATTGAGGCCAGGACAATTGAAATCATTTAGTCTAAAAATCAAGAAGAGAAAAAGAAGATCTTATGGGGTAACATTATGCAGAACAATATATGAACTTTGGTACTCAAAAGAGGAAAAGAGATAATTTGAAGAAACAATAACCTAAAGACTGCAAATTTGAGGAAATCTTGAAAGTAAAACGAATTCCAAGCTAAGTCAGAGACCCACTCTAAGACATGTTACATCAAGCACATTGTAACCGGAAAGGTCAAAAGCTAGAAAGAGAACTCTGAGAACAGAGAGAAGCAATTAATTACAAAGTAGATGATTATTAACCAATTTCTCAGCAGAAAGCTCAGAGAACAGAAAACAATGGAGCACTGAATGCCAAATTGCAGGCATTTTGGATGGCATTTTGGCTTAAAAAATGAAGTGTGTCATATTGAATGGACTGCTTGATGTTGCCCAAAGGAATTAAAACCAACATCCACACACAAAACTATGTAAGGCGCCTGCCTCCCCGTGGCTCAGGAGTTTAAAGTCTTAGCACTATGGAGCTATTGTCAGCCTCTACGGAATGAGTAGACTTCTGGCAAGCAGTTGCCCACATGGCACAGAGGCCTCTCCTGTCTCCCGCTGTTTCCCTTATAGTGCATTTCAGTAGATCAGCCTGTTCTGCTCCCCACACTACCTGGTAAATCCTCTCACCCCCCACACATCTGCCCTACACCCAGGTTCTTGTGTGCATAAATAAATAAAAATAAATCTTAACAAAATAAAACTGTCTAAAGATGTTACGGCAGCTTTAAATTCATAATTTTCAAAATTAAAAATAACTCAAAAGGCTTTCAGATAAACTGTAATTCATCTATACAAAAGAATATAATCCAGTGAGAAAAAGAAATGAACTATCAGAGCACGAAGACATGGAGGAAAGTGAAATGCCTATTATACCAAGTTAGAAAAGCCAACCCAGAATGACTATTATACTACTTATCTCAACCGCTTCACATACTGAAAAAACAAAACTAAAGAGACCTTAAGTAGTTGATTGTTTGCTAAACTTTAGGGTATGAGGGATGAATAAAAATTATTAAGAATTTGATCCAAATGTAACAATTGCTTTAATTTTCATAATTATGTAAAATTAACTACCTTAGATTGGGTTTCCAGTTCATGACTGATAGTAGTCAGTTAAAGTGAACCAAGGAAGAGAAAATGTATAATTGTCCTATGTTAGTATTATATTCCAACTAGTTAGCCCCTCACTATTATGTAAATTAACTTAAGACAAAAAAATAAGGATATACTTACCAAATTTTTTTCAACTACAATGTGCATTTCTATGAACTGAGAGAACTGTGTCTGAAAAAATTGACATAGAACATTTCACATAAAGCATATAAAACTGGACACAAAACATAATTCATGTAAAAACTGAAAATTTACTTAAAATTCCTTAGTGTATTATTACTTTCTTATACAGCTTGAAAGTTTGATTTATATATATATATATATATATATATATATATATATATAGAAACATAATAAAACTAGGTATCATGGAATCATTTGCTGAATATTGTGTCACATCTTTTGCTTAGAAAATAGCTTTCCATCTCTCAAGAGACCATTCTATCAACTCCCCACCACAAAATGTATGTATGTCTGTTAGCTTAAAAATACTCATTCATGGCCCTCCCTGGTGGCGCAGCAGCAGGTTAAAATACAGCACTGAGAAGCTAAAGCCACTTCCGCATGAGTTCGATCCCCGCCCGCCCCGGAGGAGATCCACATGGCGTGGCAGACCTCTCCTGACCCGCCCGCTGCTCCCTTCAGCAGTGTACTTCATTGATCTACCTGTTCTGCTCCCCACTCTGTCTCTGGTGAATCCTCTTAAGTAGTTGATCTGGCCTGTACCCCAGTTCCATATGAATAAATAAATCTTTTTTTAAAAAATACTCATTCATTACTATGTGGTATGCTTTTATGTATGACTGTTAAAGAATAAGGATACATCATCTGAAGGACAAAATAATCTTTGTATAAATCACCTCAAAAAAGGTGAGCAACAAATCATCAAAATGACCAACTTTCTTAAACTGAACTATAGACATTCATGATACAGTCTCTGGGTATTATGCCATCCAATTACATCATGTGGCTAAGCTAGATGGAAATGCCAGACCTGGTGGGGTTTGAACTCTAATATATATAGGTGACTTTGGCTATACCAAGAGCTTGGGAAGAGTAATAATTATTTTAACTACTAAAATAACATTTTCTCTACTTTTATAATTATTTTTACATGAAGCTAACCTAGAATACACTAAAAGCGTTGCAGGCACTTTATAATATAGATAGTTCACAATACTTATATGTTAAAACACAGATGTTATGTTACCCTTCCTGCCAGGGCGCTAACCCACATGGTGCAGCAGACCTCTCCTATCTTACCCACTTCTCCCCCTACCAGTGCATTTCAGTAAATCTGCCTGCTCTGCTCCCCATTCTGTCTGTGGTGAATCCTCTCACCTTCCTGCCCTTCTTGCCTACATCCCACTTCTGCTACCAAAGAGAGAGGAGAGAGAGAGAACTTTAAGTAGGAAGAGAAGCAAAAATGTTTTATCAGATTAAATAAGTCAGAGATTCCAGAAAGTTTTTATATTTGTTATATCATTAACACATTTAATAGAGATAGACTTTGACTCCCTTCCTCCTAAAATTGAGACAGGACAAGGATTCTTTATTTGGTAATAAAAGAAATGAAAGGTATTCTAATTGAAAAGGAATATAATAAACTGTATTTTTTTTAGGATGGTTTTATTTGTACAGAGAAAATGATAGAGTCCAAGAAAAAAAGAGCTATATAATAAACACTTACAAAATAAAAAAGCATGATATACAATCTAACAATTCTCAAACACAAATAATGAGACATCCATAAGAATAAATTTTGTAATCTTGATGTTATCTGATGACTTGACTGGGCAACAATGTCAGTTTTTGATCAAACATTTTTCTGGATGTCTGTATGAAGGTTTTATTTTCTGTATTTTTATTTATTGATAAATAAAACATTTAAATTGAGGGATATTTAGTAAAGCAGATCACCCTTCACTACATAAATGAGAAGAAGCTGCAACTAACAGTTTTACCACTTGGAATTCTGTAAAACTGAAAGAATAATTTTAAGGCTTACAATATAAATTAAGAAAACTTTGGTACATTTTACTATCATCTGTCAATCGATTGATTGATAGGTCGATTGATCGACCTAATCTATTATCAATCTGTCATCTTACTATATTAAAAATATAAGAAAAATACGTTGTTTAAAATATGTATAATAATAACTCTATAGTTTACTCAATTACCCACCTCTACACTTTGTATTTTATAGGGCATATCTCTTGGCTCAAAATCTTCCTCAGTATATAAAGAAATACCTTCATCCTTATGTTTTACTTGATAAATCACATGTTCAAAACCAATCGAAGGCTCCAAGGGCTCAATACCATAACTTACATTTTCAAACTGCAGTAAACCCCTATAAATTTAAGAAAAGGTGAATAAATAAAATAATGCATTTTGGAAAAGTTCACAAAATGGCACTAAATGAGTGTTTTTAAAATAGGATGGAAATTCCTTTTTGTCTTAGTCTTCAGTAACATAGGGAAAAGTTACTGGGAATCTGCAAACTTATTGAGTAGCACAGAAAGGTGCTACTATTGCTATTTGCTTAGCTATTAATGTGCCACAAACTCTAAATATATCAAAAAATATTAGGTTAAACAGAAGACTATAAAAGCATCCCCATACTGATTTTTGCCAGTGGCAGTTTCTCCCAATAAATTCAGCCTAACTTTAGAACCCCTATTATTTTAAAAATCATTTCTAAAAATATATTTTGTTATCACAAAATTACATATCACAACCTGAGTCCAGTACATGTGCTAATGATGACCATTGAATTTGGGTAACCTTCAATATTCCCTTGGTAATAGCAAAAATTCTGAAAAATAAAAATAACATATATATATACATTAGAATAATTCATGTTAGAGATACTCTCTTTAAATATCAAAATGTATATGCATTAGTATGTATTATCAAAAACTCATAACCTGTAGTAACTTGTCCTGGAAATCAACCTTCTTATTGATAAAAAGTAGCCCAGAAAATGGTCTTTTTAGGTCTTTTAGACTTTTTAGGAAGTCATATTGATATCTCAACAATGATCAAGGAATCCATATAACAATTTAAATAGTAATATATAATATTACTATTACATAATATTATTATGTAACAAATGGTTAATACTTGATTAAGAGCTGTAAGCTTATCTAATTTTGTCCCTGCTTCTAATTGAGGGCCAACTGTATTTCTGTCTCTACAATACTAATGTAATCTGTCTCTGTCTCGTTCTCACTCTCTCACACACACATTCACAAGTACATGTCACGTGTGCACACATGTGTGTATACATCACACATATGTGTGAATGTGATAACAGACTGTAGCTATTATAATAATTTGCATAGATCACTCCCATATATTTGCCTACTCTATTGGGCAAAATTTAGAGTATCCCAGCATATCTATTTCTTCTGTTAAAAGCTTAGTTTGTATAAAAGTACTTTAATTTCAAAGCATTGGTTGACTTACAACATGGAAATCAGAAATGTAAATGGAAAAAAATAGCAGTAAATCAAAGGGTGTGGTGAAGATAAAAGGGAAAAACAGCATCTCGGGTTTGGTGGGTTCCCTGCAAATCTGTCCACACTTCATTATTTTAACAGTTATAGGCATTTATGAAATGAAGTTCCAAAGGTTCCACATTTAAAAAACATTTAATATATTCCTAAATACTGGTGAAATTGTTGAATTGTGCTAAAGAAAAAAAAAAGTCGCAACTCCATTTCTTTGTATTCCAATAATGTGTGGACCCTAAGTATGGTGATCACAGAAACTCACATGACAAAGGTAAAACAGGCAAAATCTATACCTGAAACTGTTGTTCAAAAGGTTTCATACTTCCTGAGCCATTATAAGCATAAACTCTAAAACTGTGAGGTAAAAAAGTTCTGCAAAACAAAGGAAAAAAAGTACTTAATGAAAATATTTTCCTGAGCTCTATTTACATTATTATAGACAGGTGAGAAGGCAGAGTAAAAGAGTAAAGGAGCAACATAGGGCCAGACCCTCTTAATCTATAAATGATGTTCTAATTTTATGTTTAAAAAGCTAGTTGCTAGACCTCTCTTCATTTACTTCACTGTCAACTGCTCTCCTAGCTGTTTTTTCAACATTGCTGGAAAGCTTTTTCCTTGGGGTATTTGCACAAGTTGTTGCCACATTCTAGGATTTCTTAGACATAATTCATTTTCTCATCATTTTTAAGTCGTTGCTTATAAAGCTGTCATCACAAGTTTATATAAATAAACTTTATCAATTATGTATTCCAAACATTCCTTCCTGCTTTGCCTTCTCCCTTTGCTTAATATTTATGACCTTTTGATATTTTATAATCTACTTATTTCTTATACTATTAGTCTCATATGAAAACAATATAAACTGAAGTTTTTCTTTTTTTATTGAGGTAACATTGATTTACAATGTCATATATAATTTAGAGGTAGAATTTCACAGCTGTTCCTGTTTGTTACCACATCGCAAGCACTACTAAGTCCTCCACTGTTGTCCATGGGGTTCCCTCTCCCAGTGACTCCAAGCTTTCCTCTCCTATGATTATCTGTTTCCTCTCCTATGGTATCCTATGGTATCTATCTGCTATTTGCCTTTCTCCTTTAGAATTATTTCTGCTTAGCATAATTCCACACATTTCCATCCATGTTATTAAGAATGGCAAGTTGATTCTTTTTTAATAGTTGGGTAGTATTTTCCTAATCCACTCATCAGCTATTGTGCTAACTTGGCTAATTGTAAATAGTGCTGGCAGTTAGAAAAGTCTCTTTAAAAAGTACAAATGTCTGACCTAGTTACTTCATAGAGTACATATACAGTTGGACTAACTGTATATTAAGAAGGGTTTTTTTTTTAAGGTTTATTTATTTATTCATATAGAACTGGGGTACAGGCCAGAGGCCCAGGGGCGGTGAGAGGATTCACCAGGGACAGAGTGGGGAGCAGAACAGGCAGATCAATGAAGTACACTGCTGAAGGGAGCAGCGGGCGGTCAGGAGAGGTCTGCCACACCATGTGGATCTCCTCTGGGGCAGGTGGGAATCGAACTCATGGGGAAGTGACTTAAGCTTCTTAGTGCTGCGCTTTAACCTGCTGCGCCACCAGGGAGGGCTGAAGAAGGGTTTTTAAGCATAAAATATGAGACAAATGAACCACAAACATCTAGAAACATTTACACATACAAAGTAATTTCATTCTGGATAATTATAAATAATAACAATAGATTATGTATTAACATGCGTACAATAATAACAAGCATAACCAGTAATTGTAAATTATTATAACAGAGATATGTAAAAATGTAGATCACCTACTTTTGCACTAAGTTCATAGTGTATGTTTTCCCATCAATTGTAATGTTGTAGGACAACTGGAGAGAATATTAAAAAGGAAAAGTGAGAAAAATGTTAGGAAAGTTATTATTTTAGGTACTCTATTACTATAAAACATAGAAAACTTATCATTCAATGTTGGTTTTATTTTTATGAAACTTGGTATTAAAATATTTTATGGCCCTCCTTGGTGGCGCAGCGGGTTAAAAGCACAGCACAAAGAAGCTAAAGCCACTTCTGCATGGGTTCGATCCCCGCCTGCCACAGAGGTGACCACCTGGCGCTGCAGACCTCTCCTGACCCTCCCGCTGCTCCCCTCAGCAGTGTGCTTTGTCGATCTGCCTGTTCTGCTCCCCACTCTGTCTCTGGTGAATCCTCTCGCCCTCCACATCTCTGGCCTGTACCCCAGTTCTGTATGAATAAATAAATCTTAAAAAAATTTATAACAAAATATTTAAGATTAATAGATATTATCTAACAAATGAACAATTAAGTACATACAGATTTGGCCCGTCACTATCTTTACATTAGAGTCTAATTATCCATGATCATAGACTATACCCACTGTTGGGAGTGACTAAAGATTTACTCACAAGGACTGAATTAGGGCCGTAAAGAATTTAGCCTTGCATCCAAGCTTGATAAGGTGGTAATAAACTGATCTTGCATCCGGGCGGGACTAGCTGAAGGTGATAACGAACTGGGCCTCACATCAAGGACACAGCAATGAGTCACCCCCTTTGGAATCTGAGTTTAGAATCTATATAAGAGACCCTTCCCCCTTATTGAGGGGGCAGTAGCTGTGGACCCCACTCTAGGGGCTCCGTCTCAGCTGCTGTCTCGGGAGCAATAAACTATGCTTGCTCAGTCTTTCTGCCTCAAGCCTTCCTTTCTTGCCGCCGGTCACAGAACTTGGCAACAGACTCATGGCAGCCGTCCCTCCTCTCTGCCTTTTCCTTTCACCCACATTCCTTTTAGGTCATTAATTTTTCTCATCGTGTCATTTTGTTTCAATGAGGAAGTTTTGATTATCTTTGTTAGTTTTATTTCTATTTAAATTTCATATGGTATAAATTGGACCTTTTAAAATTATTTCATTTTACATTATTGTTTTGTATAATAAAATAGATCAATTTTTATATTTTGATGTTGTTTCAACATAATTTATTAAATTAGCATATACATCTAATTTTCTAATCTTTTTCTCCAGGCACATTTTCCTCTTGCAGGATTCCAAATATTCTATATGTAAGCATCTAATTTTATGTTCCTTTCCTCTTAATCACTTCTATGTTGGACATCTTCATTTTCAAAAGTTGTCTCTGATCTAACATTAATTATTGACTTTTTACTTTCATATTATATTTTTCTAATTTTAGAATTTTTATTGTTATTTTTGTGATGAGTTATTTTAAAAAGTTGTTAAATTTTTTTTTTTAAAGATTTATTTATTTGTGCTTACAGAACTGGGTTACAGGCCAGAGATGCGGAAGGTGAGAGGATTCACCAGAGACAGAGTGGGGAGCAGAACAGGCAGATCGACGAAGTACACTGCTGAGGGAAGCAGCGGGCGGGTCAGGAGAGGTCTGCCACGCCATGTGGTCACCTCCGGGGCAGGCGGGGATCCAACTCATGCGGAAGTGGCTTAAGCTTCTTAGTGCAGTGCTTTAACCCGCTGCACCCCAGGGAGGGCCAGTTGTTAATTTTTTTAAAAGATTTATTTACTTATGTGTACAGAACTGGGATACAGGCCAGAGGTGCAGAGGCGGTGAGAGGGTTCACCAGAGACAGTGGGGAGCAGAACAGGCTGACTGACGAGGTACACTGTGGAGGGGTGCAGCGGGCTGGTCAGGAGAGGTCTGCCACACCATGTGGATCACCTCCCAGGCAGGGATCAAACTCATGCTGAAATGGCTTTAGCTTCTTAGTACCATGCTTTAACCTGCTGCGCCACCAGGAAGGGCCCAAAAAGTAGTTAGTCTTTTTAAAGTTGAATATACTTTTCTTTTGAACTATATTCCTTATTTATTAAAACAATTTTAAACATATTCTGTCTCATTATGTTTGTGGCATTTGTATAGTATTTATTATAACCTTATTGGTTCAGATAGAATTATTAGTACTTTTCGATTGTGAAGTTGACAGTTTAAAACAGGTGATTTTTTTTTTTCTAGTAAGTAATGCCTGGATGAAGATATTTCCCTTACCAAGATTTTGTGCATTTTTCTGATATGACCAAGTCATAGTTTCTTTATATCTTTGCATTAAAAAAACTCTCATACTATTAAATGTTTCATGTATTTTTCTAGTTAGATTAAATTTGAAGTTTACAAAAATATGCATTCCTTTTAAAATGATATATTGTCTATTTAAGCTTGTAATTTCTGTGTTAGATTGAGGGTTGCAAATGAGGTATTTGTATAAAAATTACCAGAATATCTATTGAGCAAAAAAGAAAATTGTAGTGTTTAAACACATTTCACTTCTTTAGAAATATTTCTAAGAATTAGTGAAAAAGGGCATTAAATTTTTAATTAATTTCAAGAAAAATGTCATGAACCAAGAGACATGAAGATACAAAAGAAATTCATATGACACTTCATTAAATAATTCCATGTAAAGAAGGCATAAGCTTACAAGCAACAACTAATTTTCTGTATGTAGGCAAGTGAAAAGAAAATCTCAAGATGGATTTGGTCAATATTTAAAGACACTCAAGAGGGGAACATTTAGAAAGTGCAACAATAAGCATCATTGCATCGTATTCCTATGAAACATTTTTAATTTTGGTTCCTTTTCAAAGGGCTTTTCCACTGCGTATATATCAAATCTAGAAAGTATATGTGGATGTAAATACCAAGTGACTTCTTAGGCACAAAGCTATCATGTGACTTTTAGAGTATGAAAATATTTGGGGTTACTTACATGTGATTCAACTCCTCCAGTTGTCTTTGACCTTATTTTCTTTGGAATCATAATTTGCACACGTAGTCTTTCAGAATCTGCAAGGTGCAAAATATTTTATTATATCAACTCTTAACACCTCATAACTTCCTTCAGTATTTTCTTGTCTAATACTACAGTATTCTATATACCACTTATTTATATCTTTATAAAGTGACTTTGATCCCCACTTCTTTTTAAAACTACCAAATAGGTAGGTATTCTGCTTTAGTAATGTTGTTGAGTAAGCAGATTGCAGTTACCTTGAGGCAAGAGGTTCAAGGACTTTTTGCATAAAGTTCAGGTTTCTTGATACTTCCAACTACAAAGTCCCAGAAGGTCAAAAATTACAGAACAGGATAAAATAAACTCTAATCTTCTTTTTAAGGAGTTGGAAATCACTGTATTTAGCATGCAATGTTTCAGTTAAGCAATATCATTGGAACCTCGGTTATGAAATATATAAGCAGTTTTAAACTTTTTCTTTATAAATTCTACTTGCAAAATTTGAATTTGATTCTATAGACAAAGTTCCCATACTGTGAATTGGACTTTTGAATGATTAAGTAATGTAGTACCTATAAATGCCGTTTTTCAATGATGCAGACCAATAATTTACATATTTTATTACATAATGCTACCGCAATTTTTAAAAGAGATTTGTTTATTTATGCATACAGAGCTGGTGTACAGGCCAGAGGTTGGGGGTGTGTAAGAGGATTCACCAGAAACAGTGGATAATAAAACAGGCAGATGAACTGAAATACACTGCTGAGGGGAGCAGCAGGAGGGTCAGGAGATCAGGAGAGGTCTGCCATGCCATGTGGGTAACCTCCCTGGCAGCGGATTTAACTCATGCTACAGTGGCTGCAATCGTTTCACAGTGCTGCGTTTTAATATGTTGTGCCACCAGGGAGGGCCCAATTTTACCACAATTTTTTAAAGTTTTTTTTTTTTTTTAAGATTGTATAATCTTTACTGTAACTATTATCATACATGGCTCCTTTATGCCTGAGTTCTTTATTAATATGGGAAAAACCTATCTGGGTAACCAAATTCTATTTTCAAACATTTTTTTTTTAATTCTATCATCTTTACAGAGTTAACACTGGTTAACAACACAACATATGATTTAGGGGTATATAGGTGTACACCTCTTCAGATACATGCAACCAGAATAAAATTCTTATTTGCGGAACCACAAAAATGCTGACATTTTCCATCTTTCTCACAGCTGCAAGACAAATGGGAAAACCCAATACCCGTTCCTCTGCCGTTCTCCCTGTCCCCTCATGCATTCCATGTGACTTTTAACTTGGGAAGGTGATAGCATAGGAGTTAGCTCAGGCCCTTGTAGTTGGAATGTCCGAAAGAAGGCACTGTCCCAGGAGTATCCAGCCCCTCAAGAAGTAAACCTAGCGGGCGGCTGGCGTTCCCGAAACGTCAGATGAGGATTTTCCTTACGTACTGTAGTCTGTCTGGATCTGGATGAGCCCTGTGAGCAGAAGCAGAAGGCACAGCATGGCTAGATGTCCTGGGTGGTCGCCCAAATAATGACAGTTGGTCTGGTTAGGGACAGTTGGGAGCGCGAGGAGACGCCCTGTGACCACTCACCCCGCGACAAGGGGATGACTGAAAGCAGAGGTGAGTCAGAGGGGGTGGATTCAGTCCGCTGTACACCGTGAACTTTCTTGGTCCCTAAACCTGCCGGAGAGGACTTCTATTTGGTTTGATGCTGCTTTGAGGCTAAAAGAAGCAAAAATATCTCCAAAAGCAAACATAAAAGAACATCGAGTGAACAAATGTCAATACATTTCCGAAGTGAACATCCATGCATGATACAATTAAATTTTTTATTGTGTGTGTGTGTATATATATATATATATTTTCTATAATAGTCTACATCATATACATGTGTATGCAATATATAGTTTATCCATGTATACAGCCACATCTGTTGACATTATATATATGAAAAAAATAGAATAATTAAGGCTTATCAACAAATCGAGAAATAAAAGTCACCAAACACCCCCAGATTATATTGAAAATGAATCCCTCTAACACCATTAGTCATTTTTCACCGTTAGTCACTTTTCATTTATGTAAATGAAATCAATCACTGTATACACTTTTGTATTTGAGCTCTTTAAATATGATAGATATGATATATAAATGAGATATATATATATAATATCCATGGATACTGTCAGTAGTAGTAATTATCCTCTCTAGGTTACTATTTACACACTGAGGAAATATAATGTCATCTGTTTTTCTATTTTACTGTTGATCAACATTTTGATTTAAATACAAATACTTCTATTAAGGAAGTATTTGGTTATTTTATTTCTTGTACAAACTAGTTGATGAACATATTAGTGGCTTTTATTGTGTATATTTCTATAATGAAACTACTGGGTCACAGAATATTCTTTATTAGACAATTCCAAAAGACACTTTCAAAACTTCTAAAAATTTTCCAAGATTGTTGTATGAATTTGTATCTCATCAAAAATATGTAAGTATTCCACTTTATATTAATGTACATTTTTTAACCTTTTATTTCACTTTAGTCATTTTGGTGGTTAGCTAGAGTTCCCACATTTTGGCTTTATAATTTTCATTTTTGTGTTAATAAAGTTTAACACATATATACTTATTGGTCATTTATACAAAACTTCTTTGGTAATATCTTTGAAATCTTGGTCTGTTTTTTGGTCTCTTTTTAGTATATGCAGACTGTCTATTGTAGATACAATTCCTTTGTCAGATATAATGTTTGCAAATATCTTTCTATATTGGGACTCCTATTTGATGGATTTTTTAATTTAGCTATTCATATTTAGAAATTTACATTTCTTCCCAATTTATTTGGATTTTCTTGAGATATATCTGTTCATACATGTTCAAATTTTATCAAAAGCCTTTTTTCTTATAAATTAAGTTGATCACAAAATTTTCTCCAATTTTCATAAAATGCTGTGAATTCAAATTAATGCATTCCCAATATTGAAATAAACTCCAATGAAATATATTTAGTCATGATGTGTTATCTTTTACAACTTTTGCTTGAGTGATATGCCAGCATGTTGTTTAGGAATTTTGCATTCATATACACAATAAATATTTGTCTATAACTTTCTTAGATTGTAATGAAATTGTCATATCAGATATATAGCTGTCTCACAAAAGAAAATGAGGAATACTATCTTTCATCCATAAAAAGAATAAAGTGTTGTAGATATTCTTTGAATGTTTCTGAGAATTTAGAATTTTGGGGGAGATATTTATAGGTTTTCTTTGTACTTATGAATTGATTTAAAAAGTTACATCAGGCCCTCCCTGGTGGCGCAGAGGGTTAATGCACAGCACTGAGAAGCAAAAGCCACTTCCGCATCAGTTCGATTCCCTCCTGCCCCGAGATGACCACATGGCATGGCAGACCTCTCCTGACCCGCCCGCTGCTCCCCTCAGCAGAGTACTTCGTAGATCTGCCTGTTCTGCTCCCCACTCTGTTTCTGGTGAAGCCTCTGGCCGCCCCTGGGCCTCTGGCCTATACCCCAGTTCTGTATGCACAAATAAATAAATCTTTTTTTTAAAAAAAAGTTACATCAGTTTTTTTCTATGACTAATTGATTTAAACATGTATTCATCTTTGCCTTGTTATTTTAAGAAAGTTGTGTTTCTGATGAAATTTGTTCTACTGAGTAACATGTTAAATGCTCTGGCCAAAGTTGTTCATAATATCCTTCCCTCTTTTTTTATACTTTTGAATTTGTAGAGGTATCCATTTTATTTTTCTCAATATTGATAATTTTATGGTCTTTCTATCTTATTTATGATAAGTCATCCTTGGAATTAATCATTTTTATTAATTTTTTAAATAAATAGCTTTGAACTTTGATTTTTTTTCTATAGATGTTTGCATTTAATTTCATTAATTTTGCTCTGTGTTCATTTATTTTTTTCTACCATAAGTGTAGCTTGTTATATTTCATGTCCCTAAATAGAATTTTATATTATTTATCTAAAAATCTTTAGTATATGCATTTAAAACTATATATTTTCATTTACCTACTGATTCAAATTTACATGTATTATATTCATTTTCACACACATCTTTTATTCACCTAAATTGATCAAAATATTTTCTAATTGTCATTATGACTTTTCCTCATCTGTTATTTAAATTCCACATGTTTGAGGTATGCCAATTAAATATTTTTTATCCAATTTAATTCCACTATTATCATGTTTTATAGTTCAACATGAGCCATTGCATTTCACTGAGATAAGATTCATTGTCAGATGGTGGTCCTTTAACAGAATGTGGATTATTCAGTTATGAATTACGTTATTATTTAAGTATTAACTAGATCAAAGTGGGTAATAGGTACAAATGTTATATTTTTACTGATTCTTTTATTTACTTGTTCTTTGAATATATTTAAAATATACTAGCAATTTTGGATTAATGTATTTTGAAGATACTCATTTAAGATGTTTTGTTTCCTTGAGAAATTGACCTATTGATCTAAAGAATATCATTCTTTACACATTACAATACTCCTTGTTATTGTCTATTTTTCATGTATTTCTATAATCAGATTTGTATTAAGATTAGATTTTGCATGGATTATCTTAAAAATGGTTTAAAAAGTGTCTTTATATATAAATGTGTGTATCTATTTGTAAACAATATGTAGCTTAAAAAATCTAGTCTGACAAGATTTAATTTTACCTAAAAAATCAATTAAATATATATAAAATTATACATATGTGTGTATTTTATACATGTTATTATAAATATATATTATATACATTATACATACATGTGTGTATTTTATAACAGGTCTTCATTTACTATTAATTACATAGATGCTAAATTTATTTATCTTACCAATTGCTTCCTAGTTTTTCCTATCTGCTTTTGGTTTTGTTTTGTTGTTTTATTTTTTTACCTAATTGAATACTGTAAATGACTTTAATCCATCATTTCATCTATTCTTTTGACCTGGGGTTTTGATCTATACCATTGACCTGGGGTTTTAGTGATTAAGAATTACATATGTTCAACACACTATATTCAACATATTACCTCAGAACAAATTAAGATTATTGCAACAATTCTGTTTAAGACCTTTCATTTTATTATTGCCCTTTTTTATTTATTAGTGTGCATGTATATGTGTGTGTGCATATACTTAATGAATGCTGTTTTGTAGTAGTTCTAGGTCCACAGAAGAATTGACAAAATACAAATCAAAATAGTAAGCAAAACAGCATGGTGTTTGAATAAATATAGACAGTTTGAAAGTAGTAAAATGGTTGTGGTGGCAGTGGTGATGGAATTCTAGATAGTCTAACCTCTGTTCAGCACCCACTGGGAGACCCCCACAGATACTCTCCACTCTGTCATAAAGCTTGACATTCAGGAGAATGATGAGGAAGTAGAGAAACCTGGAGCCAATTATAGTACAGGTCTTTTGTGAATACTCTTGATGTAGTCAAGGTGGAAAGTGACTTTAAACTCCTTATATAAAAATGTTAAGGGAATTTGTATCCAAAGCTTGGAGGACTTGAAATATGTACAAACTTTGAACCAAGTAGTTCACTTAGTATCATGTTTGTTTGATATTTCTTGCTATGGAAGCAGTTACAAGGCAGAAGTTCAAGTTGTGTTTAGGAGTACATCACATACGCCAAATCATAAAAGAGACCTTTTTCCAAAAAATCAATTACATACATATATATATATAATTATACATATATGTGCATTTATACATATTATACATATATTATATACATTATACATACATGTGTGTATTTTATGCATATTGATAATACATGTATATTATATATATATATATATATATATATATATATATATCTCATCATTCTTTTTTTTACAATGTTTGCTTTCTTTCCTCAGGTGTAGTCCCCATAGAATTCCCATCACCAATTCACTCGTGCATCATCACCATGAACACATGATCCTTATCCCTCTCCCTCCCTTGCAGAAAATAAGTCAGAAGGAAAAAGAAAAATATTGGGTGGTTTCACTTATTGGAGAGATGAGAGGAACCATACCAGAGATCGGGTTGGGGGAGGGAAGGAATAAAACAATAATATTAACAAAACAAAATAAACAGAAAACTATAAATCAGAGGCATCCTGTAAAAGAGGCCTTATTCTAAGCTCTGGAACCAGGACTGGTGCCTTTCTATGTCAATATCAAGAAATAACAGGAAGCATTCATTGCATTTGGATTCCTATCTGATGCGGGATTTGAAACATAAGAATGACCTCGCTCTTTTAGTGAAAGTAGAGCTTGTAGATAGTTTGTCATACCATACCTGAGCAATGTGATGAAAGCCTGAGCTACCTGGAACTCTGCTCAAACCACAGAAAATTTCACTTACTGCTCCCCCTAAATTACAGGTCACTTTGTCTATGCAGTCAGATGTTATTGAGAGAGCAGAGGATTGGACAACTGCATACTCATATTTCCAAAAGGTATTTGAAGATTATGACTCTAACATATTTTCAAAGTACATGATGTTTTGCAAAATTATCCTCAACACCGCAAAAGATAACCAGACTTAGGTGAAGTGAAGTTTGCACTTTGCTACCAAAGGAGGCAGAAAAATGAAGTGTTGCTCAGTCTTGCAAGAACAGATAACTGGCAGACTTTGAAAAGATCCTGATAGATTATTGGGCAGAGCTCTGGGATGACACAATCATCAGCACAGACTTGGCCAATTTACACAATTTATTAGAATAGAATTTACTACAAGTCATTAAGCCCACTTTCCTGAGTATAGACTGAACACATATTGAGCCTTATCACCCTCTCCATGACCAAAGTGGAAAGGGATTCTTGACAAGGGGTGTCATGGGATTTGGGGCCAGTAGGAGGGCTTCTTGATTATTTTCCATGCACTCCTAATAGGTAACACTGATAAAGCTGCTCTGGGAATAATACAGAACATAAGTAGTAGGTGCCTGTGTAACAAGCCAAGAAACTGACATGGGTGAGGGCTGTGGCAGTCAGATTTTCTCAAGACTGAAAATCTGCTGGTGTCCTTGCAGCTCCCCAGATTGATACTGCTGTCATCTCTTGCAGAGTGGATCTGTGGCTGTCCTGGTGACAGTAGGTGTGGTGGGAGAGCGAAACTGTTAAGGGGCAGGATGCCCTAAAGAAACTCTGCAGAGTCTTGTGGACTCCACACCTACTCCGGCTTTCAGCAGTCTACCCCCTACTCCAGTGATTGGAAACTACAACTCCCAGCAGTACCAGGGAGAGAACTGTGAGGACCCCAGGGCGGAGCTAAGCAGGCATTCTGGGACTTTGGGGGATAAATAGGGCACCATTGTGTCTCTCGCTCTCTGGCTGGGAAAGGGCTCTCTGGACCACGTGACTCGGGGCTTTTAGTTAGTTTGTTACCAGAGCTCCAAGTCAGCCCAGCTGGTAAGATATTCCAGTTGTTGTTTCCTTTTCTTTTTCCTTTTCTGTAAATAAACCCATTTTGACCCTTTTGTGTGCGTCTGCAGTACAACTGAATTTTAAGTGTGTGGGTGAGGCCCCACCAACAGGTGGCCCAGTTCACACTGGGGTGTCCTGTAGCAAAACCTTTGGGGAAAATACTAGGGACATGCTACTTTTGTTCTACTATTTAATCAGATAGTTTTTAAATCCTCATTTAATGCATCTCTATTCAAACTGATAGGTATACCAGTTATGGAATCATGACTGGACCAACTTGGGAGTGGGGGGGTTACTTAAAGAAAAACAAAGATCGTTATTCTAAATTAAAGGAAAAAGTCATTCACTATCCAAAGCTGTGCTCCCTGCCTCATGTGCTCTGGGCCTTACCTCTCCTTGCTTCAGAACTGGGTGTTTGCTTGACATTCAAAGCATTGACAAAATGAACAACTATGAATAGAATGCTCCTTTCCATTTTTATCTGAACTGAGATATTTTGGTGTTCTTTCATCTGCTGTGCAGTCTTTCCATCCTTCTTTCTTTCCCCATGATGACTCTGCAGCCAAAGCCTCAGCACCAGGCCCAGCTGCTGCAAGGTTCCATGTGTGGACTTGTGAAAAGATGGGGGTGGGGCAAGGAGCTGAGGTCCATGTGGTCATGTGGGGAGGTATGAGGCAGGTGGTTCTTTTTAGCACAGATCCCAGTGTAAATAGATGTCAGTGTTTTAATTACCTCTGTTCTCTGCTCTTTTTTCCTTCTCTTTTCAGTCTCTCAACCAGGAAACCCATGATCACTTGTCTCTCTTCCGTTTTTTCCCCCCTGCTAGGGGAATGAGATTGTCTGAAATCCAGATACTCTCCCTAATTCCTGTCTGCTGTCAGATGGGTCTATTCCTTTTTTAACCAAAGAACATCAGAAGTGAGACTGAGGGAATTATGATTTATTATTGATTTTGGAATGACCTCGTGTCTTTATTCTTAGAAATCCTCATTTACCTCTTTATTTTTGTGTACTCCTTAGAAATCAAAAGGAGGAGTGGTGGAGCACTGTATTCAACACATGTTATTTTATGATCCCTCTATGATGAGACTCTCACACCCATTTGGGCAGGTAAGTTTCTGTACCTCAGTTTTGTTCAATTATATTTTTTCTTGCTTTCACTTCCTCTTCATTTTCCCCCCTTTCCTCTTATCACTCTACTGCTGGTTTTCTTTAATCTTTCCTTTTTTCAGTGTACCCTCCCAGGCTTTTGTGATAAATGTATATTTTGTCAAATAATTTTCTTGTGTCAGTTTTTGCATCCTCACTGAATCTGATAGCTTTTATTTATCTGTCCAAAATCAGATTTTTATTCTCAAGTTCTAGCCCCACTATGTCCAGTCACTGTTTCGGCATTACCAATGGTAAATGTACAAATGACTCTTGCTAACCAAAACAGGTATATCTAATGTTCAGGTGATTTCTCATTAAAACATTTACTTTAATATCTAAATGAATGAACATAGAAATGAAATAGAATTTAGAGGCCAGAAATAAACTCATAGTATACAATGGAGAAAGAAAGTCTCTTTGCCACAGACAAACAAGTAAAACTTAAGCATTCTCTCACATCTGACACAAAAATGAACTCAAAATGGGTCAAAGTAATAGCTTAAATCATTTATACATAGAAGGAAATAGTAATAGCTTCAATCATTAAAACATAAAGGGAAATATTAGGAAGACACTCTTACACTGGTTTCAAGGATATCTTTGGGGACTTGACTCCATCAGTGAGTGAAGCAAGGGAAACAGATATTTAAATGTGACTACAAAAGAGCCTAAATCTTCTGGTCAGCAAAAGAAACTATGATTAAAGTGAAAAAGAGCCCCCAACAGATGGGAAAAGATATTTTTACATCACACATTTGAAAAGGAGCTAATATCCAAAAATCTACAAAAAACTCAAGTATGCCTGGGAATGTAAATTTATTTTGTATCTAGAAAACACAGTTGAGCGGGCAATTTAAAAAGCTTAAAATTACTGTTTTCTACACAACTGAATGGGCAATTTGAGAAGCTTAAGATTGCTGTAGAAATGTGCAGATGCTTGAGGGGTAGCATGCGGAGTAGGTGTCGCATGGAAAGACAGTTTTATCATAGTTATGGATAAAGGGAACTCTGCATATCTTACTGTGATCTTTCTTAATTTGCGTTAATATCTCTACAAAAGGAAATCCTCGGTTCTTTTTTTAACGGTCTTTAGGAAATCCATCAGATTGGTCCCTCCAGTTCCCTTATTTTCCTCTTCTTCTGATGTTTCAGATGTTTGGTTTTGCTTGGACTTCTGGCGTGATGGGGTTATAATGTACTTAACTACGATAGACAAGTGGTAATTTCTCAAGTTAACCATGGCAGCCACACACTTATTATAAGACTCCTTGAGGGTGGCATTGTTTTTTGATTTGATAAAACTACGAAGTGAGGGCTTTGACTCTAATGAGTGAAGAAAGTTCCGGTGAGCTGGTGGCATGTATGTTCTCATATTCTGGAGGAATGCGGAAGATTCTAAAAGAACAGGAAAAAGATGCGTTAATAGAGAGGCCAAGCATCTCCACAGTCCAGGGAGAAGAGCAGAGGGAGATCATAGTGAGTGGGCAGGGAGAGGCCTCCATGTACCATGAGGCCGTGACTTGACAACTCTCCTATTAGACAGGCTATTAATCTTGCTATTAGTAAAGGGAATTGTAAAATAAATTTCTTTGAAAATCATATGAGTTCCTCTTTTGAAATAAATATTTTTTTGGCTTCTTATTTTCCTATTGTACTTGTCCTCGGAATTTGATGATATAGACAGGTTGTATAATATAATCTACACTTGACAGATCAGGACACTGGGTCAAAAGAATTTAAAAGATTGTTAAATAAGTGTCAACCGGGAAGCAGCATATTTACATCAGGTCAAAATTCCCCTTTATGTCTGTGCAATATTAAGTTTAGGAAAACAGAAAAGCAAAAAGAATTTCTTAGAGTTTCTCCCTCTGTTCCCTCTAAACCTCTTGAAGTCACCAATGACGGGCTCATTTTTCAACCTTGGGTAAGCACTGCACCAAGGCTGCTGAGGCAGCAGGTTGTCTTAACCAGAACAAGGTGAAGTTTCTCGTCCTCACTGAGGGCTCTGCCTTCCCAACTTCAGCTCATAGGCTTATCTCACTTGCAGGTAACTGACTAATTTTATTCTGAATCTGATTGTATATTTCAAAGCATGTGATACTGGTGTCTCCATAGTCAACCAGGTCTTCTATACACACTCATATGTCCAGATCACTAGGGTGATACGCATGGAGTTTTGGTCTCACTGCCTTCTAGCTGATTAAGTCACTTAACCTAAAATTTCTGTTTCTTCAACTGTAAAATGGGATGATGGCTATATACTCAAATCTCTAGTCTCCTAAAACATGAGATTAGCTAAATTGAGGTACTGAGGTGAATGTAGTTTTTAGAAATTAAAATGCTATTGTATTCACATAGGTGATGATAATTATCATCTTCCACTCACCACCTTCTTTATGCTGAATGCCCAGAAGAACATCAAAGCACTGAAAGAGGCTGCTTTGGGCTGCACTGCCCCCTGCATATTCCTTCGGGGTATCATAGACGCCTTCATACAGCAGACCATCTGGCAGTTTAGGATTGTTTGACCAACTAGGTCAGAAAGGAATGAATAATCATTATTTGGATTAACTACCAAATTTCCAGATATAAATTCTTACAGATAAAGATGAATATGATAACACAAGATAGACTCTTTTATTTGTTATGTTTTAATCGCTCTCCATTATTTTTTTTATCACTCTTCTTCCACACCATCCTATCCACTAATGTTCACACATGAAAATAATAAAGTGGTTCTGAGAAATTTGGCAGGTGTGTGCAATGAATGAAACTTTAGCAAAGATAATCCACTCTCTTCAGATGATTAGCGGTTAAGTAGCTATTGTATTATAGTCAAATGTGTTAAGGTTATAATTTGTTTCTAAACCTGATGGATAGTGGGGAAATCAGAAGGAATTTGATGTACTTCTTAAATTAATTGTCTGAAACAAAATGAATTCAAGACAGGTATTACATACCCAGACAAGTATATGCGAAGAACATTGTAAAATAGATTTGAGTCCACATAGTCTGTAAAGAGATGAAATAGGTTTTATTGGGCAGTATCAGAGCTAGAGAGTAGAAAGAAAATAGTCTACATCATGTGCTTAATGATATAACAGAAATGACTTACATAAAGAAGCAAACCCAAACAAAGAGAAAAACAACCAGAAAACCCAGTAGCTTTATGAATCACATCCCTAGGATTTTGTTCCCTAAAACTTGTTAATGTCTTTATTTGTAATTCAATCTTCTTGCCAAGGACAAGTCAGCAGTGACACAAAGCCCATCGTGAAAATCACGTATTTGATTAGGTTGTCCAGTAAGGCTTTTGCAAGCCCTTACTTATTTCCTTTTTTTGGTTATTGTTTCCTAACTGTTAATTTTGCTGTAACTTTTTAGCTCAATGGCTTTTGTATGATGTTTCTTAGTTAACTTGTGAAAGAAGAATTTATGTGTATCTAACAAAAACTATGCTTTTCAAGGACTCAAAACAATCTATGTGGTTGGCAAGTTTCTTCATAGTTTCTAGTGGGAAGCAAGGACATTTCTTAGAGTTAAATAGAACTAGTTTGAATGCTGACTTCTCTTTGTACCCCTATATAGTGATAGGATCATTTATTTATCTCTGCAAATTTAGGTTCTCATACCTATAAAAGAGACAAAATGAAATCTTGTGGAAAGCATGATTCAGTGAGATAAAGTACACAATATAAAAACACATCCACTGTGAGAGTGCCATTTTATGCTTCTCTCTTGCAAAAAAAATCCATGCCTACATAATCAAAAGCATTTGAGGACCTGCCTATGATACTATATGGCTAACAATACTTGCCATGAATTTGCCTGAACACTTCGAGGGCTTTGTCCAGAGAAGTCTTTATTTCACACAGAGCCTTTTGTAAAGTTGTATTGTCCTCTTGTTCCATTGCTAGGTATATAGTGGGAATTACCTTTAGGAAAATAAAAGACACACGATTTTCTCTCACTTAGCGTTGTCATAAAATAAAGTTCTTCTACATTTTAATGCTTGAATTAAATTTAGACTTTCCATCTGTGAGTAATCTCTAATTATTTGACTGATTAATAATTAATCAAACGTAGATTTGTTTTATTTATTACTTACATAGGTTTATATAATTTTATGTGTATTTCTAATGGTCAGAACCATTGTATATATCTAATTTCTATTAGGATTTCACATTAGATTCTAAATATATGGCACCAATATTTTACATTTCAGGTGATACCAAATGACCCACTATATATCAGTAAATCAAGAAATGCTATATATAGATAGGGTAATATTCTTGCTTGATATAGTTATTAAATATTTGTCCTATTACATGAAACAAGAAACAAATTTCCCCCTATCAGTAGACATACTTTGATTGCAGGAACAGCTGCTAATTCCACCAAAAGGGAAACCAAGAAGAATCCTTTACTGCAATCCCCACCAGGAAACGAGAACAAAATGTCCATATTCCTAAGGAAATCAGAAAATGAAGTCAGAATTTAGCCAAAATATTGGTATATGTGTTGAGTACTTCATAATTTTTAAGTATTTGTTAAATCCTGTTTTATTTTCAAAATATTTTTTCAGGATAAGTAGACAATTTTACTGTCATCAGTAAGTCATTAGGGATATTGATGTTGGCAAGACATTGAAAATTAATAATTATTATTTTTTTCATTTCTCAAGCAGGCATCATCACAAACACTTATTTTAGGGTATTTTTTTTTTTTTTAAGATTTATTTATTTATTCGTACAGAACTAGGGCACAGGCCAGAGATGCAGAGGGTGAGAGGATTCACCAGAGACAGAGTGGGGTCTAGAACAGACAGATCGATGAAGTACACTGCTGAGGGGAGCAGCGGGTGGGTCAGGAGAGGTCTGCCTCGCCATGTGGATCTCCTCCAGGGCAGGTGGGGATAGAACTCATGCGGAAGTGTTTTAAGCTTCTTTGTGCTGTGCTTTAACCAGCTGCGCCACCAGGGAGGGCCCTATTTTAGGGTATTTTAAGTGAAATAAACATTAAATATACAAGGGACACCCATGGGCACATCAGTTGACTAATTTCATAAAATCAGAAGTTAGATTAAGCTGGGATCTGAAATTCCTTGTAGATCTTGGTCCTAAAATTCCATTCCAGAACTTAGGCTATTACTGTTCCATTATCTCATTTTTTCATACACTTACAGAAAGTATTTACAGATAAATATTTATAATATAAATGGTAAAATTTCAAACAATCTTTTGCTTAATAAATGCATTCATGGGCCTTCCTTGTGGCCTAGAGTTTAAGTTTCAGTGCTACTACCACGAAGGCCCACCTTGACAGCCTGAGTTCATCTCCAACCAGTTAACCCTGGTGCTGCAGACCTCTCGTGTTTCCCCTGTGGCTCCCTTCAGCAGTGTATTTCAGTAGATCTGTCTGTTTTGTTCCCCACTCTGTTTCTGTTGAATCCTTTCACCCCCAGACTCGCAATCCTGACTTGCAACCCAGTTCTACACATATACAAACAATAAAATCTCTTAAAAAATAAAAAGCAAATGCATTAATATGTATATTTTTATCCATGAACCTGAATCAATTTCAGGGATTTATATGCTTTATAGAAAAATTCACTAGGAAGTTCAAATGAATTAAATCTCATTTTTTTAAATGGAACCTTCACATTGATGCAAACATGGCCACAGTATCAGATTAGAGTTTCATGGTGCCTGAATTCATAGTCTCTGAAGTCAGAAAACTGTAGCTTATTTGCTGCATGAAGATATTTGAGCAAGATATTTTAGCTATTGCTGCTTTAATCTATGTAAAATGGGGTTGATGATATCATGTTCCCATTTAATATACTTCCACTTATTTTAAGACACTATTTAAAACCCTTTTCTCAGTGAAATGTCCTATATAATCTTTGTTAAGTTACTTCCATCATTCATGATAGATTAGCTTCCTTAGGAGAATTGAACACACCAAAACTTTTGTCATTTCAAATCCTTTTTAACTCTTTGGTATATGTGTTGAGTACTTCATGATTCCTCTACTATGTCTCCTATTTTCCTTCTAGCTAATTCCTATTCACTCTTGAGGGCCCAGCTTAAATAGCATGCTGCAGAATTCCCCTCTCTCTTTTTCTTGGTCTGAGCACCCATTACCCAATCTTCTTACCTCCCTCTAAATCATCTAATGACTCACATAATTTCTATATATTTCCCTCCCTCCCCCTTAGTAACTTCACCAGGGAAAATTTAGAGCTGTGATATTTACTTTTGTTTCCCCAACTTATCCTCTAATATAACTCAAGAATAACAAAGTCAACAAAGTACAGATTTATGTTTTTTGCCACTGAGGTGATGAGGTCATAAAAACACAGATGGATAGGCATTTGTGTTTATGTATATCAGTTATATTTACATATTTGCAACAATACTTTTGTAAGATTAGCTAGAATGTTAAGGAACCACAGTTATATCACAGTGATAGATGTAAAACAGTTATTTAAATTCCTTTATGCTGAATTCAATAGATCACTTAAAAATGCATTTAGATGATACTGGAAAACCCACATTCACTTTTAATAGCAAATACTTCTTAGACTAAAACAGGATCAAGATAGATCAAATACTTACTCGTAAGTCATGGGTCTTCGATAACAACCACGATGTAATCAAACAATGGGAAGAGAGAAAGAAAACTAAGTTAAAAATCAAATGGTTATATTACTGAGACTGCTTTGAAGTCTACTGATGATTCAAAGGCAAGATATTGAAAGAAACTATGGCTTTTCATTTATCCAACAAACATCACAAGCAATTTAGGACATCTTAAGTGGAATAAAGATTAAATATAAAAGGGACACATATGCATAATGAAGCTAGTTATTAATAACAATTTCTATCATTATTAATCAATGATTTCATTTTGCTGTATTACCATGTCTATCATATTCCTCTGCAGATATATACCCAGAGCCCTATGCCACCACAATGTTCTTATCCATTTATTGCATCAGAACCCATCACTAAATGGTTAACAGTGAACTAGATTTTGAACAAAAACTGGTTCAGATCTCTATTGTTGAAGATGAGTTGAATTAAACTCAATTAGATACTTAAAAATTAAATATGTAGATTCTCAAAAACATGTTAATCAAGAAAAGCCAGCTGTAAGAGTATATAATCTATGTTTTCATCAATATGAAATCGAATAACTGAATAGCTAATTTTAGTAAGACAAATCAGAATATACTTATTTTCCTGGGGGCTAAGGGAAGGGATTGAATTAAACTCAATTAGATACTTAAAAATTAAATATGTAAATTCTCAAAAAGATGTTAATCAAGAAAAGCCAGCTGTAAGAGTATTGAATAAGTTTTTTTGTGGTGGTAGAGAAATATTCTGTATCTTGCTTAGAGTTAACATGTGTGTATATGAGTACAATTCATTGAACTGAACAGTTAAGATTTGTGCATTTCCTTATACACCTCTCTCACTCATAAAATACTTTTATAGTTGTAGATACACCAGCCAAAGATATCATACCCTTATTACAAAGAACAACAGAGAGGGAAGCTGTTAATCCCAAAATCAAACCAATGACTAGCTCTTTGATATAAGCAACATGCTCTCATTTCATTCCAATTATGTTACATACCCATTGGGATCCTTTTTCTTCCAGTTTGCCAAGACACAATCAGCATAAATCAGAATAGGAGGCATTCC